AATTTAGTGTGGACGTGGATAATTTCGGTTACCTGTCATCGTGGCACCGTTTGGAGATAGGTCAACCTTTTAATTATTTTTATGAAAACAAAATATATTTGTTCTGTACGTCCATTGGGGACATTTATTTTATATATATATTTTATTATACGTTGCTCCCCCCCCCCTTTTTGCCTTTAGTTCATAAGCTTATTCAATGTTTATTTAATTTAATCTAAAAAGACTTTGTATTTTGATAAACCAATTGCTGATCATTTTAATTATATCTCTCCTCCTTCATCCTTTGATTTTCCATTTATACGTGTGGCAATCCACTGGATTCTGCCGTTGCGATAAGCTCTCGTAACATACACCTGCGAGAATTTCGCGCGCACAGTTAGCTTACTTTCGTTAGCTTTAAAAGCATACTGAGTTCTTATTACATATTTTACATTAATAATACAATAAATTAATTATTTATAACTACAATCATGAATGGTTTTTTTTCGAAAAAAATCATAGTAAAAACTAATTAAAAAATGTACCATTAAACATCATGATTAATTAATTATTGATTCTCGTGTTTTATTGAAACTAAATAATTTCTTCATAGCAGCATATGAATAACAACTTTCAATACATATAATGTAATACATCATCAAATACTTAATTTCATTTATCTATAATTATTAAATATGAATACAATATTATCCTTACGTAATCATTTACAAAAACGTTTATACCTAACAACTAATACAGATAATAAGATACATTTAATCAAACAGTTAACTCACATTTAACATATTTATGCTATAAATATTCTAATAAATTCTTGTTCTTCTTTATGCACATAATTTTTCAATTTTTTTATAACAATAAATTTGTTAAACATAATTTTTTCACATTTTACATGTACGGAAATTAACGTCTTTTTGTAATAAAAATACACATAATATTATGTTTTACCAACTGTAACACGGTTAAGTAATTTCTACGGGTATAGATGTATACAGCCACAGTTTTCGGTAGGGTTTAACGTGATTTTGGTTGATACGGAAATGTTTATAAAATCCGCGCGTTCCATCTGGTTCCATCCATATTGTTGTCTTAGAATTATGACTTTTTTTTTCAATTTGTTCTGTACTCTTAGTGTGTCTCCTCCTCTCTCTACTCCATTTATCTCGTCGTTCGCCTTTCAATCGAAACGGATGGTGTAATTTTTAATAGGTTAGAAACGCAAAGCTCTCTATCACAAAACCAACATCGCATTAATGATAAGCACCCTGGCCGTTACACCCAGTTAGATTCACGTTTATCGGTTTGTATACATATATATATATTTTTTATGCACATACTAACCGTCAAGTATACACGTACTCACACGTGTGTATGTGCTCGTAAAGAAAACCTAAATAAACAGATTATCATCAAGACACCATGAGCAGGGACCTTTTCGCGTTGATGGGGAAAGGGTGGGTTGAAAGAGCTCTCGAAAAAGTATCACAATTGATTGTTTCGTCGTGGCTGCAGCACACATATGGGATACTATATGTATGGAAAAAAATTAAGTGAACACATCACTGTAACGTTTTCGTGTTCGTGAAGAATTAAGCACGTGTATTATTTAGAGGAGAAACCCTGGTTCACAATAACTCTCTGCCGTAGATTTTGCGTGATTGTATGCTCTGCAGTTTCGTTTCGACGTCGGAAACGAATATTATATCGGTACAAACTGCAAATTCTATGAACTAATATCGTATTTGCCTTTGATCACGTGTAATATTATGTCGACGCAGTTGTACTCGGCACAGTTCGATAGATGGAAAACGTTATTAAGTAAAACAATCGCGTACACAGTGCTGTATCATTATACCGTTCGCGCCAACCTAATCCGCGTAAATTCGAATGCATTGTTATTTTATTTATACGTAATGTATATAAAATCGATGGTATTAATGCGAATATTTTGCTTCCACGTAATAAGTCTTTACTATTCATTATAGAGAAACTTTATAAATCAGACAATTGTGGTTACGTTGTGGGACGATTACTCGAATTGAATGGCCAATAAATAACTTATTATACCGGTATAATAATTATACTATTATTTATTCACGTATATACGTAGTGACTGTTTATGGATTCGTTAACGACCCGAGAACTTACTTAGGAATATTTTTATTTTTTAATTAAATTTCTGATTGAAGAATAAATGATTGAATATTAATTAAAAAAGTCTTTAATTACTTCTTAATTTTTATCTAAGACCTAATAAATATTCATGATAGCTTAGTTAAAACGTAGTCTTCTCGAACTAGTTTATATTATATATATTGTACATCACATTTAAAATAATCTTATTTCGACAATGACCATTCGTGGATTTCAAGGGATAAGAATTCACTAACAACTTTTAGTTTTAATATGGTTACTTACGTGTGAGCTACCAAAAGTTCTGACTTATCCAAGTGGACGAATGTTCCAACTTACTAAACATATAATTGTTGTTGGTCTTTAATATATACAATACACACATACCTAAATTAAAGGAATAATATCATGTACGTACAATAGTTTAAATTCTCTTGTCACAACTTTATAATTTTGGTAATATTGTACAACTATAAAATACATCACGCATAAATATAGGAGTAACAAAAATGATAAAACTTTATTTAAAAACTGTACAACATAAGTTTTTCTATACTGCTAACAATGCTGAAATGATCTAAAATGATTATATATTTTTTTTTTTACTTAATCATTTTAAATTATTAAATTTTAATCATTAATTTTTAGGGATGTGAACATTACGTTTTTTTTTTACTAAATATTCACATCCCTCCAAGCATAAATGGACAACTCCGGGGCGTAAATGGGCTGTACCCCATTCCTTTACACTTTTTTGCTACAACCCATTTGCGTCCTGAAGTTGTCCATTTATGCCCCGAGGGATGTGAAGAGTTGCGCCCAAAAAATAAGGTACTGCCTCATGATTTATAGCCCATATGCGCCTATTTTGCACATAACGTTGCCATTTAATATTATGATTGTCTAAACTTATATCTCTCGAAACCAAATTTTTACTAAAATAGAATTTAAAGTTATGAAAATTTAAACACTCATGGTTTTAACTAAAATATTATATAAAAATAATTTCAAATAATTTTAAAATATGTAAATTAAAATCATAACCCATTCAGCTGTTCTCGAACTTTAAAGATAATGTTGGTGTGTTTTTAAATCTAACATACGTAATGAAAATACATTTTTACATTAAAGTTTGAACTAAATGAATACATTGTATACGCCATAAATTGTTGTCACAATTATAGTTTTAATAATATTAAATGTCAGAGTATCATTTATTTTAACTAGTATAATTTTTTTCAATAAAATATTAGATTAAAAATGTATGTGTCAGCAATTTAGATCATTACAACAATAAAGAAATACTACCACAGCAAAAGTAATAAAAACGACCACTTTTCATTATTTAATTTGACTTTGTATGGTTATAACATTGTTTTCATGATATTATTAAATCATTGATTATATAGGACCTAAAATTATTTTCAGATGTAATTTTTATGATACATCAATATATTTTAACGATTAATGAACAGTTAAAAGTATAACAAGCATGAAACACTTTGTCACTTTCTTTCTAAACACTTCAGAAACTAATAATCTTAGTAATAATTTATCCTATACAGATTTTCAAGTGCAATTATATAATAATTTTGTTAAATAGTACGACAAATTAATCTGTCGTCGCCGTCTTACTATTTGTATTCAAAATTACGGTATAATGTATCAATAAAGATTAAACAGTGTAAGATACATTAAATTGCATAATAATCTGAGTTTGAATCATTTCATCGATCTCTGGTCATTAGTTAAGATGTAATTAATTATTAATATAATATTTGAATAATTTTAAAATGACATACAGACCCGATTTTGATATGCAAAAATTATTATTTAAATTCATCTATTTTTTTAATAAATTGATTCTCTATTAAAAAATTTTAATATTTTTGCGTAATTATATTGTTTTTTAAAATAAGTTATTATTTAGTTATCGATCTAAATTTGTGACCTTATAAATATTCTGCAATCTACTGTACTCGTTACAATAAAGAATGGTAACAATTAATGTATATAATTTGCCAATATTATGAATCATCATAATAGTATCGATTTTGATTTTATGTAAAATTAAAATATAATTTTTTTTCTCAGGATTGTGAATCTATATCAAACAATGACTTAATGGTTTGCTCGCTGGACGAAACAATGAGTACATTTATGGAAAACTGTAATGACACAGAAATGAACTCAACGTTTAATTTTAGTTTGGAAGAAGTATATTCTATTTTGTTGGAGCATAGACGTAATGATCGAAATTTAGACAAAAATACCGAGGTAATTATAATTTTTTATATCATTTAAGATATTATAAAAGTCAAATAATAATTATGAATTGAACGATTTTAATTTAAATCAGAAGTAATTATTTTAAATAATTATTAATTTTTTTGTTATTAATTGTTATTTAAAAAAAATTTTACAAAGGAAACCAAACTCAGTTTAAATGTTTTATAATTTTTTTCTGGTTTTTAAATTATAAAATTTTTAATTTATAACTTATTAGCCTAGCTGTTTGATAACATCATTTTTACATCATATATTCAACATTTCAAGAAAAATAGTGATGCTATTATAAATTCTTTGATTAGTTTTTCTTGAATAGGTAACTCATTTTTAAAATTTTAAGTTATAAATAAAAGAAATATACTTTTTTATAATAACTATTAGTTTCTATCCACCGACATTTCCTTGAAATTATTTTTTAATTGCAATGATTGATCATTGTTTCCAAATTGTTAGACTCCCCTTCACTAACTCCCGAATTCATATCATTGTATTCCTGCAAATTTGTTTTTACTCGATTCTATATTTATATTTTTACATAATAATTTAAATATTAAAGTGTCAGAAAAAGAATATGATTCTATTTATCTAACGGTAAATCCATTATATAATAAACACAAAAACAAAAATGTAATTTTATTTTTTTATACTTTTTTAAATAACAATAATAAAGAATTATTAGTAAAACTTTTTTTATCATACATTATATTGAATGCTGAAATAACTGAAAAAACATCGTACTGTATTAACTATTAATACATTTGTATTATATGATCATATCAATAAACAATAAGTTGTGCGTTCGTTGTGAAACGATGATATTCGTTGTTGATAACACTAACGTTAGAATAATAATATGATGTTATCTCTTTCCTGTCCTTAACTTATATTATTATATTTTATATTAAATGGTATATCATGAAATTCTGTTTGACTAACAAATCCCATGCCACGCTTCTCTTATCCACAATCGTCTAACCGATCTTCCCACATAATCACCTTTTTTGGTTTGGTTGTCAAAATATGATTGATTAATTCAGTTATTTTGCATGGATTCAATATTATTAAAAACATGCCAATTAATAATTTTTGATTTGTCTTCTGATCACATCACAGGAGTTAAAAATGAAAACTGTCTGAAATGTATACACTGCACATTCTTCTTACAAATCTTAGCTTTGGAAAGTTTGCATGGTTATTAATATTAACAGTATCTTATAACGTAAATATGGAGCGCCAAAAATTTTAAATCATTATTACTTTCGTCACTCTTATGCACGCATTAAAAATTTGAACAAAAACGGAAAACCGAAACTAGTTCAGCTCTATAGAATATTTAAATTCACCAAATCCTTCCGAAATTCCCATGGTGTAACAACTCTATAATTTACTGGCTTAACCAAATATCAACACAGCTGTATCATAACATAACTAATTTTTAGTGTCTCTTATACCCAACTAAAAATGTTCTCCGTACTGAATTTAAACGAGATTTGCAACGGAATGGAAATCATTCATATTCGGTATATAGCAATATTCCCTGATAGTTGCATGCAGGTGAAATACCCCAGAGTGCGGTTTCCATCAAAAGTTTGTTTTGCTATAACAATAAACAAGATACCGTGGTCTGACATTACTTCATGCCGTTGTCGATTTGTAAAGTCATAACTAATAAGTATATACGAGCTTCTTAAATTACGGTCGGTTGTTATAAGATTGTACGTATATATTGTTGAATTACTGCCATCAAGTTTACACATCATGCATCATAAAACGGCTCTTTGTTCGTACTTCGAACTAAAATAATATAATGTAGATATTGTAACAACGACATCAATAATACTGATTTGGCTTCGTTCACTACATACTAAAAGTACACTCGTATTAGGGGGGAATCTGAGGGCTTAGATGCTTCGTGTACGATTCACTCCGAAGACTCTTATTACCTGTATCGTTTAAAGAAGGAATTCTTTGTTTTCTCTCCTCCATCCAACAAGTTTCCGGTATACTTAGGAACGGACTGGGATATAAATTTGGCCCGGAAAAATTGTACCAATGGCCCTTATGAAAAAAAATATACTCTCAACTTTAATCTTCGTTGTTCATTCTCGCCTAAAACATTTTTCCAGAGAGATACTTTCTTATGTGACTCTGTAAAGAACACAACTGTATTCAGAGTAGTAAATAAAGATGCTGTTTCTAATGAACACTTTGTTACATCGGTAATAGTAAAATGTAATACATGTGAATAGGACCAATATGCACTTGTCCAGGAAAGAACCTTTTAACTAAGCTGTAAAGTCATTGTTGATATCCTGCATGTTAGCTGCACCGTCTGTTACATTACTTATGCATATTATAATAGCACATTGGTCTATAAACAGATATATCCTGAATAGTATCATTTTCTACTGAGTATATTCCTGCTTCACAAACCTCATCATATATTTTGTTTTCAATGCTGTAATCAATGGAATCAATTATAATATTCAATGTGGTTTTAGAAATAAACGTAATGAGTCCACCTCTTCCTTTGCTTTCTAATTCATGAGCTTTTTTACTCTTTTCTCTAATGTTTTTCAAATGGTCATTAAAATGAATGTCATATTTACCTAGAAACAAAAGAATATCTCAGAAATTTCCATGATCAACCTAACCCGGCGTCCCGCCGTCCTAATACGTGCCTGGGTATACTGTTATATCTTTATTTATATTTTCATTTTTTATTTTTCAATTTATCCAACATCTGCTATTTATGAAATACATCTAATGAACCAATAAGGAATGGAAATATACCTTTGACGGTTCTATTTTGATATGAAAAATCTTTTGGAATGTATAACAGTCAGCAGTTATGTGGCAAGATGCGAGACGGTGTGTGAGCACTTTCATAATTTGCACTTGAAATTAATTTAACAAAAAGTATGTAAAAGGTTTACCTTTCTACCTATATATATATATATAGCGTCATCAGCAGCAACAGCGTTGGATTATCGGTGTCGGTCAGGAGGAGACGGCAGCAGGTGTGCGTGCGTCAATTGTGTGCTTTGTTCAATTGTATCGCGTACGTGTATTAACACGATGTATATATTGAGAATACAATTTTTAAACTTCTTTCGATTAAAATAATTACTTTTTTCACTTCTACCGGCAGGTGTTCCGCAATGGATCAATTTTTATTTTTTATATACATCATGGTTAAAAGTAGAATACAAATAATTTGTATTTGTTTTGTATATATAATATTGATTTTGTATGATTTAATTCTAAAACAAAGTTAAAAAATAACTAGGAATTTTATCATAAAGTATTACTATAGTTGAAAAGTAATATTGGCTTTTTTTACAAAACTTAGTTTACTTCAGATTTAATGGAAAAAATATAGAAAGATGACATAAAAAAATGATACTTAAATTAATTTTAATATTAAAACTTTCTGAAAATGGGGGAGGCATAATAGGAATTATTTGAAAATTATAAATTTGTTTTCTTCAAAACGTTTTACATTAAATTTACATTTTTTAGTCTTTCAAAATGAATTAAAAATTAATATATTATATACACAGAGTGTTATAAAATTATTGAGTATGTTCAATCACTTTTCTATTTGACATTTTCAAATTCTAAGTAAAAGTGGAATGTATTTGAATTGCAAAAGGATTGATTTAATTTGTGTATACAATTTTTACCAGAAAGAGTGCTCTGAGACTTAAAAACCTAGTACTCTCCAAATTAATCTAAAACACTCTGATCGGATGAGAAGGTATATGTAAAATTGTAATCATACAAGTGTTTTTACTTGATAACTAAGAAATATAATAATATTTAAATTTAATTGATTTAGATATGCCCCTAAACTTATTTCGTGGAGTCCTAGAGCTCCACGGAGCACATTTTGAGAACCACTTATACATACTTTATTTTTAAAAAATTTTCTTTATCAAATATCTTAAACTGATTTCATACCGTAATTACAGTACAAATATTAGCAATGGTTTAAGGAGTTAAAGTACAGTTTTCGTTCAATAACCGTTAAGCACGCTGATATGTGTACAGATTTAGTGTCAGAAGCTGCTTGTTATAGTTTTCAAAATGTTTCTGTACCGCACTCTTGTGAACTCCGGGATACAACTGTGTAGTTGTAGATTAATAATAGAAATAACGTTGACCGTCGTTGAATATACAATCATTAATCCCCCCCCTCCCCGTAGAATGGCGTAACGATGACGCCGTACGGTTTGGAAAAAAAATCGCCATCCATACGGTTTCATCTCGTAAACAGTAGTCGAATGCGTCCAAACCCAATCGTTGTGACGACGTCGTTGCGTTTGCTTTCAGACTTTCAGGCTTATTTAAAAGGGGAAATTTGGGGAATCGATCCCTCCTTTTGGTCTTTTTTTCCTTAAGAACGTCTTTACGGACTAGTACATCTATCAGTTTATCGGACAATAGACATAAATACTTATGAAATAATTGATGAACTAGCAACTAAACAAAGAAAACTTGATTTTATTTTATATAATTACAATAAAAATAAATATTTGTAGTGTGTAAAGATTAAACTATTTTTATTCCGTAAATACAATATTATTATTATTATTATACTGCATTTAGTGAGTATTTTTTTAAAAAACTCAAATGGTGTTGCGGGAGGCAAAGCCAATCACTTTTATGTAGTATATAATTTAATGGCCCATCCCATACCTATAACAATTCCTAAATACGTTGCTGTTTCAGACCATACTGATAATCGTGTACTTGGGCCTGATGACGGTCGGGCTGTCAGCCAACCTGACCGTCATCTACGTGGTGGCCAGGCGCGCACAGATGCACACGTCGCGGAACCTGTACATCGTAAACCTGGCCATTTCCGACATGACACTGTGCCTGGTGTGCATGCCGTTCACGCTCACGTCCATTCTACGGCACCAGTGGTCCATGGGCACAGTGTTCTGCAAGCTGGTGCCGCTGCTGCAGGGCACCAACATCATGGTGTCGGTAGGCACCATCACGGTGATCGCCATCGACCGGTACTGGGTGATCGTGCGCGGGTCCGCGCAAAACGAACGGCGCACCGTGTACGTGTCTATAGCCATCGTGTGGCTGCTCGCGTTCCTCACCACGTCACCCATACCTTATTACCAGGTAAAAACAACGCTTAACCTAACCAAGGGTAACGCGCTTACCGCTTCGGCACCGACCCGGGTTTTCGCTCCGCGCACCGTGTAACGTATCATAGATCTGGCACCGGTCGTCGGAGCCATGGCGGGGAGGGGGGTTACCTCGTTTCACCACCGTGGTACTAAATTGTACGCAGCGTTCAACTTGGAAAAATTAAAGAAGGGGGACTCTGTTTACTTTCAAGAAAATAGCGCTCCAAGATTTGTTAAGCGTTATAATTATAACGTAATAATAATAGGGGGGACGCTAACATTTCTGAAAATTAGTATGGGTACTCCGTCCCCCTGCGTCCGCCTCAAGACGATCACTGATTGTATGGCGTTAATTATTGTTGCGATTGTTTTATTTTTATTTTATATTCTGTTTCTTATATCGAAAACATCTGCATCACGAGTCGTGTCAATTATTGTTTTGCATGACTAGTAGTGTAAATACCGTCTAAGTGTTTCGTATGATGATGACTCGAATCGAACATCGGAAGGGATCGGAGTGAAGCGAAGAGAAATGTTCGATCGAACGATTGACAGAAATATGATTAATGGATAGTAGGAAAAAAACTCTGTTCGGAAATTGAACACATCGAGTGATTTTAAGTTAAAAATGTCACGGATTTATGACTACGCATCAACTGAAATAACACTTAACTCATATTTCGTACATAAACGTAGTTGTTACAGGATCCCAGAGGACACGTTCATATTTCAAGATAAACAAATATGCTGATATTTTCGCGGAACAAAATCTTTTAATAATTATGTGATAAAACCTTAAACGTTAATTTTCTTATGTCTGTCAATATATTAATGTTTTTAAAAATATTTATTTTCCATGTATATCTGCTTATTCTAAAATATTAAACGATGAAAATATTTGGTTGAACTTTTTAACTTAAAATACCACTATCAATTTAGACCTATTTTACATATTGAAATCAAAAACCTAATTTTAATTAATTTTTTTTTTAATTCATAATAGATACAGTTTAAAATGAATTTACTGCTTTAACATACTTTAAGTTCTAAAATTCAAATTACTCAATGTTGAGTTAGTTAGAAATTAATATAATTTTAATACAAAATTATTACAATTTACATACTCGAAAAATTAATAGATTGTGATTTATTAATTAGCTTTTGCACAAATATTATTATTACCGTTAAAATCAATAATTTACCTTTTTTACTATATATTTTTTGTTATATGCTATACAATTTTTCTGTTAATTTTATATCAAAGTGAAATGTATGTATCAAATATTCCATTATTTTCGAAAGCCATTGGTAAATAAAAATAAAACCTTGCAATATGGAAAAATCGAATAATAATAAAAACTACCGTTTATCGCCCAACATTACTCTACTGTATTACAAATCACATAAAAACGTTATTCTCCCCCCCTCCCCATTCTGAACTGAACCAAACGATCAAATTTTACTTGTTGGGTAAAATCTAACGTCTTAACACATATCAGTCGTTTTTGTCACCGGTAAAAGTGTCGAAAAATAATTCTTTAATGTACCTACACCATCTTCGAGTAGTGCAGTGTTTCTAATGTCTCCGCCTCGGAGGGATTAACAGTACAACTGCTCCGGGACATGTTTTTGCCGAGACAACCGTTTCTCAGCGGAATTGCAAACAGTCAAATTCGATATTATGCTTAAGTGTGCACTCAAAATATCCCAAGCGTTTGTTGCACGAAAGAAACATTTCTTCGGGGATCAGTGTCGTCCGGTCTTTTATCGTAGCACTAATGATGGTGATGGCGGTGTTAGTTAGCAGTAATCAGCAGTGGTTTTGCGGGAGGTAGCGAAAGATAAATGCCCCTTAGAACCATGATAATGTATCTATGAGCAAATAGTAAACCAAAAAATTATCACATATACTTACATAAGTTATGAGTTTGCTTATTATGTATAGTTAGTTTGAAATTTTACTATTAATTAAGTTTGAATAAAAAATTATTTTTTGTTTTATTTTATTTATTTTTTTTTTATTGATACTTATAATTTGTATGTTACGCTCTATATGCAAAGTTCGTAGAATGTTAATTATTTTTCATGTGGCAAATAACAGGAAAAAATAAGTGTGATACGTATGCAAGTACGTGCAAAATATTTTCGCCCCCTCATCCATTGCGGCTTCTCGAAAACCGTCACTGGTAGTAGTTGTAGTAATAGTATTAGTACCTAGTAGTAGTATTTATGGGTGAAACTAGGAATTTTTACGCCCGGGGAAAATGTTTAAATTACGCCCTATCATAGACCAATAATCAAATACTCTTCTCGAGAATTATTTTCTAATAATTAATATACAATCATACTTATTGAGTTATAACCCAATGACAGTATTTGATAAAGTTAAAAATATCAAATTAGTTGTTAATAATTACAAAAATGATACCCTCTAAAATTTTACACTCAGGGATGAATCCCCTTCTTCCACCCTCTAGTTCTGCCACTGGTAGTTGATAGTAGTACTAGTAGGTAGTTAGTAGCCCTGTAGCGGTACCGTACGATGTGTACAACCGACGTGGAATGGTGTTGCAGGTCGTCGAGCAGCAAAAACTTCAGCAAGTCATCCTGTACGAGGCGTGCATCGAGAAATGGCCGTCGACCGACATCAAAGTAGCGTACAACATAGCGATGGTGCTCATCCAAGCCGTGCTTCCCGCCACCGTGCTATTGGTGGTGCACATTCGCATCGCAGCCTACCTGCACGCGCACACGGCCACGCAGAAGGACTCGCGGAGAGCCCAACGGGAACTCCAGCGGAACAAGCGCACCACCCTGCTCCTGATAGGTAACGAAACGTCGTGACGGTAAACGCGCGCCACGGGACGCGGATAAACGGTATTTCACTGGCAGTATGGCGTGTACCGCTTTCGCCGAAACCTGAATCGATTAAAAAAAAAGGTACGATTCCCGTTTCCGCCAATCTACATACTATGATAAAATTATCATAATGTACTTCATATTTTTGCTACGTTAAAATTATTTTAATATATTCCATCATTTTTTTTTTTTTTTTTTTTTTGAGGGGAAAGGATAATCTTCACATTTCATTAGTCGTAATACACACACACACACACACACACACACACACACACACATAATACATATACATAAATATATGACTTGATAATAAAATAATATCGCGTTACTCGTATGTAAAAACTGTTGCATTTAGTTATGTTAAATAAACTAACAAAAAATTATGGTTTTTTTAATTATTTTTGTCATTATTACCATAAGAAAATATTATGTATTTATGAATTAATGTCTAGATTTTGAAATTATATTTCATAGAAATTACGAACGAATTATTATTATTGTTATAAAAACTGCGTTGAATAAACAGAAAAATGTATTACAAATTATTTTAAATGGCAAATATTATTCTTTATATTCTTTACCTTAAAAATAACATAGATAATATTCAAATAATGTGGAATAAATAACAAATATATTACAATGTATTACAATTTTAACGTAGCAGGTAGATTGGCAAAAATGGGAATTGTACCTTTTTTTAGCTGCATCTGAATTGGGTCCCGAATTATTTTGGGTACTACACTAGTTGGGTCCTGGATTTTTATAGGTACTGCACTAGTAGGGTCCTGAATTATTTTAGGTAAACACTAGTTCCTGAATATTTTTTGGTAAGTAATATATTATACTAATATTTTCCTTCCCATTTTAACAAACTTAGGACTGTCTATGATCTATTTAGATCACAGGTATGGTTAAAAATGTTTTCATAGTTTTTTTTTTTTGTTTTTAGTTTTTTTTTTCCGTTAATTTTTATTTTTATTATATAATGATTTTAACATTTTTAATATTTTTTTATTTACCTATATGGCTATAATTATGTTATATAATATGTATTTTTATACTTAATTTTTAATTTTTTTTATATTTTTATCAACACAATTCTAATAATTTATATTTTAATGAAAAAGAAACTAAAAACAAAAAAAAAAATACAAAAAACATTTTTAACCATACCTGTGGTCTAAATAGATCATAAACAGAATTAAGTCTGTTAAAATGAGAAGAAAAATGTTGGTATAATTTAGTACTTACCAAAAAGTATTCATGAACTAGTGTAATACCTAAAATAATTTAGGACCCAACTAGTATAGTACCTATAAAAATCCGGGACCCAACTCGTGTAGTACCTGTAAAAATCCAGGACTCAACTAGTACACTACCTGTGATTAGCCTATAGTACTCGGGACCCAACTCGGATGCTTCGCTTTTTTTTAATTGGCGGAAACGGTAATTTCAAATTTTGGCAGAAACGGGTAATTCCCCATTCGCATTAACTCGGGGACGGGGCCGTGGGATATCGGACCCGGATATTTTGGTTCAGCCATCTAGGCTCATTTTATCTTATTGTTGTAGATGCGTCATATACATTGTGCTGGACACTATACTTTTAACGCAGTAAAACAACGATAAGCTTTCTTGTTGAATATTCTTACAATCGCGTCAATTGTTACAACTTTTAAGGTTTAATCATCAGTCATCTACGATGAATAAAATAAAATATAATACATTTTAAAGGGGTATAGCCGATAGTGTAAAATGTAATTAATAATATTATATTTTTCTTTTTAATCTTACGAGTAAACACACATGTGTAATATTCTAAGTTTCGTATAGAATTCAATAAAAATAAATGTGAAGAATAAGTGCAACTTAATAAATGTATTGTTGATTTTAAAAAGTCGAAATATTTTTATGCACCGAAAGGGCCAAGGTGACATTGTTCACGCCGAAATTTTCTAGGCTGGTGGGATACCATTGGGGCGAACAAACGGAGCTAAATTGAAACTGGTGCTTCCTAATTGCGGATAAAAGAAATAAAAACCATGTGAGTGGCGAGCGCAATCTGAAGAGATAACTTGTACGAATTGTGAACACAATTATAATATACCGGCTGTGGATCATTATTTTTTATATTGTCGATTGACGTTATGAGATTGATTATATATCAGCATTAAGGTTGTACCGGTGCTTTTGAAACGACTGTCAAAAACTATTTTAAATCTGTTTAATGACGACACTACTCGTGCCTGTTTAAACATCTCATTTTTAGTAAATATTAGTGAAAATTACAGTGCAAAATTTAAAGAATTACGCGTGATTGATGGTTTTAACTTTCGTTTTTATCATATAATATGCAATGAAGTTCAACGGTAGACATGTACCAAAAAAACGTGTAGAGCATTCTTAAGATTTGATACACTTGATGATCAAGTAGAAAATAATTTTAATAGAAATTAAGAATAACGATTTCTCATTTGCAAGACACAAATATTTTTAACCCCACCTACCAATATTTCTTTATGTAGCTTGTCTTAAGTTCCCGAAATATTTGTGTTCGTAACTCACATGGTTTTTAATAACTCGATATCCACAATTAGTATTTTGATAACAAAATCTTTGCCCCCCAACTGTTATACTCGTATTATAATAGATGAATGAATAAATTCGTCCGTAGCTATCGAGACAAAAATTCTACCTCGGGACGAAATTTTTGCGCGTTCCTTTTAAACATTCTATTACGACCCGTGTAGAACGACCATGTTAATACGGTCACACCAAGTCAAGAAGGCCGTTATAATAAACGGTTATGTTCTTCTCTGCGCATAAACTTTATTACCACGCCCCTTATTTATTTTTCATCGACCGTGCACAAGTACAAAAAGTGAATAAAATGGTTATATCCCCCAACGAATTCCCCAGTGAAAATGATTCGATAAAGCAGTGCATTAATCTATTGTCAACTCTAAATAGGTATATAACTATGAAGTCACGTAACGCTGTATGTTATTCGGGTAAACCTCTGTTTTTGGAAAACCTGCACATGGTACACTTTCGAGCAGCTGGAGTCCAGTGTAAAATGCCATTTTGTGCTCTTATTAACTAGGTACAAAAACGTTGTAGGTTTTTATTTTTCCGGACGAGTCTTATAAACATTTAAAGGTTTATATAAAAGAAAACGTGACAAGATTTTCAATGTTATTCTACACGAGTCAGAACAATGTTCGAGGAACTCTGTACCAACGCGAAAAACTGTTTGTAAACAGAATGCAGTACTACCAATGTATTCCTTGCTTCTATAACGTACAACGCACTATACCGATTCATTCCCACTGTGTGATAATTTTATATTTATATTTATAAACTATCATAATAGAACGTATCCTAATAAATATAAATAATATATATTATAATAAAATATAAATTAACATAACGTACGCTAAACATTTGACATAAGACTATACCTTGAGCTATTTAAAAGTAGAAACTCTATGCTAGCAAAGCGAGCAAAACAACATGATCAGCATCGGATATACCACTCAACAAAAAATTTTAAAAAAAACAACCAAACAATCAAAGGTAAAACCCGATAAGGAGGCAATCCAGTAGCATACTCGTATATAAGAACTCTGGATCAATACCAAATTCATACGTATTTAACCATCCAATATAGAAACTTTATCTGTTAATATCATTGATATTTTACTGTTTAAATTGTTCATGTTAATTTACTTAAAAATTTTAATAAAACTACCATAATTTAGTAACCAGTATTATTTTTTCTATTTTGAATACTATTTAACACTTAAATATTGTTGCACTGTCGAGTTATCCACTCGGCACGTAACACCTCAATCAGAATCTAAAATGGTTAATGTTTTAATGGCCATTTAATCTATTGATATAGGTGCTGTCAAACTATGTCCAACCAATGAAATGAGAATGTTAAAAACATTATAACTCAACACGTATTTATGAGATAGATTTAATACGTTGATGATCTTAACGTTTTTAATGTGGCACAATAATTTCGTGGATCCACATAAACGGAAGTCGTTTACAAGTATCAAGATTGTTGTGCTACCAAGCGATTAATTCCAATGAGCCAGATGAAGTACATGTCATCTGTGTACTCGAACTGATGACTACCAGTAACAAACTGAACAGGCGAGATGTAGATATATAAAATTATATAATATTGATAAAATTAATATATAAACTAATAATTGATGATAGTAGTTTTCAAAATATACTTAATTATTACTTATAAACTTTCAGTCACAAGACAGGGAATACAAAAAAAAAACAATTTTTTAGAATATTTTCTTACAATAAAATATTTTTACAACCAGATAAAAGTTTTATGATGATAAATGATTACACTAACTGTCCAAAAAACTATAAAAATATAAAGATAAAAATAATTTTTTACAAAATTATTGCATCAATCATTTTGTTAAGATTTGAAAACGAATACCCATGATGATAATCACATTAGAATTCGAAAAAAGATAGTAATAATGTGATTATACTATTATACAATTTTAATAATAATATTTTGATAAATAAATTAAGACCATAACACCATACTTAGCTAAATTTTACCTAATTTTAAGTGATTTTATTATTGATGATCACCTGAACACTATACACCTATAATAAAAAATGTATAAAAAAAGTACACATAGATAAATTACTATTCATAAAACTGTAGTCACTTTGTAATGTGGCCAAAGATTTTTTTATTCGTCATCGTAGGAAACATAATATTTTACACATTTTAATGCATATTTTAAAGAAAAAGAAAATTTATTAAACGTTGCTACAATTTCTTTTCATAACATGCTGAAAGCGGACAAAGAATATGAATACGTATATTGATATTTCAGTGAACCTTATTTTTTTGTGATCATTTTCAGTTGAATATATTCCGTAAAATTTTAATAATATCTTGCAGTATTGAAAATTATGACTTAAAAACACTTAAAATAGGTAATCTATTGATGATATCAGTATAGTTATTCAATATTAATACTTATGTTAAACCGGCCTTTGTTGAGAATATTTTTTTCTGAGAGTAATGATTTATCATTATTTTCAACATATGTGTACAAATAATACGAGTAACGTGGAAAATCGAACAAATAAAGAAAGGAAGAACACTCAATCCCAATTCGTTATAAATATTTAATTTGAAGGAACTATTATTTAAGCACAAACCTGAAATTTATAATAATTTATCGGTATTTTACTGATTACCAACATAAAAGGAGAATTCTTTCAAGAAAATTTCATTTAAGAGTACTTATAATGAAACATCAGTATCTCAAGTTTTCTTTTTTTCGATTTCTTCAGATATTGGAGTCATAGAAAGCATAGTGTGTTGTATAGAAAAAATAATAATATAGTTCAAATATTGTATCGTGAAATAATAAAAATAAATAAAAATAATAAAATAAAATAAGACACGACTTAGGTTAAACAATAACGTGTTAGATTATAACTAAATATCACACCGAGTAGTTTAAAAAATTATTACTCAGTACTATGAATTATGTAATTCGTGGAACCTACAGAGTTATTATAAAATTTTGATTAAAAAGTTTTAACAATACTTCTTTTTTAGGATTTGAAATTTCAGGTCGAACTTCATAGATTCTTAAGAGATTTGGTTCTTCCACGTTACTAGAATCACGTCTTACCTTAAATAATAATAACAAAAATATTGTTTTATGACTACTACAGTTAATTTTGAGAAATTTGTGATAAGTTTGTTGAATATTCAGGTTTATTATAGCATAAATATAAAGACTAGTTATAAACTTATTTTAATTTATCCGGCGCAGTTGTTAAAATAAAATACGACGTAAGATAGAGATCTATAAATTCTATTATAATAAATCCGTAAGAAATTCACTATGCATGATCCGAATTAATTAGTATCTATATTGCAGATATTTTAAATAACATTTTTTTTTTTTTTTGCTTAATACACAATTTATCATGTTTTCAATTAGTATAAAGGTAATAAATAGTAGGTCTCTCCGTTTCTTTTTGTCTCTCACTCTATCCCTCCATCCCTTTGTCTCATCCGACCTCGATGAACACTAGATCTCTTTTATCCTGATTTATACATACTGATCACTAGACAAAAAAAAATACACGTCTTGCGATCCCCGCACAATTTTACTCTTTGTATGCACATTGAACGAACCGATAACCTTTCGCAATACATGGTTATTATTATATGCGTTTTAGGTGTAGCCATCATCTTCACGATAAGCTGGCTCCCGTTGGCCGTGTTCTCACTGGCTGCTGACCTGATATCACCGTCGATCTTGACCACCAAGCAGCTGTACGTGACGCTCGCCATCTGTCACCTGACCGCGATGACTTCGGCTGTATCCAACCCGATCATCTACGGGTGGATGAACTCCAACATCCGCAACGAGCTGTACCAGCTGTTCTATGCTAAGATCTTGCGACGACCGCAGGAGACCCGGTCCACGGTTACGGCCACGACGGCTGTGCGGAACAGAACGCGGCCGCTGATCACATACAACACTTCCAACTACATTCCCGGTAGCCAGGAGAAGTTCTCGAGGAGTGTGACCGTACTTTAGGTGGAGCACGCCGATGGGGTTAGCAAAGGGCAGCAGCGGTACGGGACAAGGACAGGATGGAAGACAAGCGTTTCCGTCTGAAAAGGATCTGCGGCGCAGCTCTGCTTGTCCGTCACATCTGCTTTTCGATTCCTGCGTTCCCAGAATATTGCGGTCGAACCGTTCGTTCGATAATATTACACGATTGAGAAAACAAAATGATTACTCCTGTCCGTACGGACGGCGATGCGTATCGTACAAGTTTTCGAATTTTCTTCCCCGGCAATGGAATAATGTTTCCCCCGTAACTTCTCAGTACGAGGCAATCCAACACACTGAACCTGGTATCTGGTAGTGTAACGGTGTCAGAGAATCTTGTCGATCGAAGCAGTGCAGAATCACGATTGCCGCCGTAACTTATTTTTCTTCATTGGCATTTATAACTCTATTAGAGTCTTGCCGCCGTAACACTACCACTTAGTACATAAAAATGCCCATCATAACGATACCCCAGTGTACGCCGTATGCGTTTGCCTACCGAGCAATTTCCTCTCCACTGCGTAAAATCAACATTTTAGCATATGTAAATATAGCTTCAACTATTATAAAATATTTGAAGATAAGGATACGTTCGAAATGATTTTTTCAATGCACAGACATTTCCGAAAAAAAATATTTTGTTCCTAAAATATATACTTATAGTACAATAATTTACAAGTTAAGAGCATTTCGTTTTTAAAATAGGTAAAAATCTTAAACAATTCTTATGACTAAAAATATTTATTTATTTCCTTATTGTCATAATAATTACTTCAGATTGTTGGAATTAAGAACAGTTTTTTTTATAGTATATAATTAATAACATTCAAGTTAGTCATCATATATGATTAGCGCAGCATTTTTTTTTTTTAATTTCTTTGTTTTTGATACTTTCCATAATTTTGTATTGACTCTTTTCAAATGAAAAAGTTAAGCTTTTACAACTATGTATCATTGTGGAACAAACTATATAATTTTTGTTTGACCAATACACTACGATATAATACTGCATATATAAATGTTTCATTATTTTTTTATTCACCAATTAATGTTTATTATTGTCAGAGTGTGATACGAACGTTTTTAAAAAAAACATAATTTAAGAATAAGAAACTAGATTATATCTAGGATTTGAATTATTATTAACGTTTGATTTGATTAAATAATTGGTTTGTAATTTTTTTTTTTTTTTTTAAATATAAATAAATTACACGTCAACGACTAATTCGATCGACGTTTTATCGTCACTAAATTCAATGCTGATCAAATAAATGTCAAAACCGAAAATGATCTTTATCACAAGTCAAAATTCATATAATTATATATTACATGTTTTTGTTGTAATATTGATTTATTGATTAATCATCAACCAACTACAAGCAGAGGTGGAACTAGGAATTTTTACGCCCGGGGAAAATGTTAAAATTACGCCCTATAAAACGACTAACGACCAATAATCAAATACTCTTCTCGAGAATTGTTTTCCAATAATTAAAATACAATCATACTTATTTAGTTTTAACCCAATAACAGTATTTAACAATGTTAAAAATATCAAATTAGTTGTCAATAATTACAAAAATTACACCCTCTAATATTTTACGCCCGGGGATGAATCCTCGTCTTCCATCCCCTAGTTCCGTCCTTGACTACAAGTACGATACGTAAGAAAAAATTCAATTTATCGATTATAAATTTATTTTTCATAATACAATATCTGCTTGTTAAAAATATTTTAAATTTTATTTATAAAGTCTGTAAAAATATTAACCAATATGTACACGTGTTATGTTTAAGAATGTAAATATAGTTATATTATAATAACATTACGATTATGTGTAAAAATGTATTATACATATTAAATAATTGTTTTTTTCATATGAACAATCTAAGTATTAATTTTATATTTACTTATTTATTTATTTTACCATAGTATTTTATTGTTTTAATTAAGTAATATAATCAACTAAAGTTTCAGTCATTGTATAAAAGCCTATATAGTTTCAATGAAAAACCCATATTTAATAAATTCATTAAATCTTGGATAGTTAAATGAAGTAAAAAAAAAGTACAATTTAAAAGAACCAATTTTCGGTGTTTAAAAAATTTGCTATTCTTTATCATTGCAACCTTATCGATTTATTAACTTTTTATTACATTTTACCAAGGCTAGGAATTAACGAATTAAAAAGTTAAAGTTAAGTTACTTTTAAATAAGTTAAATTTATTTCTTAGTGCCATTTTTTTTTTCTTTATATAAAACCCATAGGTTTAAAATAAGATTTTGTGTAAGTAAAATTATAATTTTTTGATCTATCAAATATTATTTTTAATGGTATACTTGTATTATTATGTAGGTATTTTAAATAACATGTTCTAAATTAATAATTATAGGCCGTTGAAATTTTTCACACGATTCTTCAATTTCAATAAATATAAAAATAATGCATAAGTATATAAATACAAGTATCTAAATATATAGTTATAAATATTAATTTATAATAATGTACAGATATTAAAGATTAAGCAGGAAAGGCCATAAGGGTAATCATTATTGAGAAAAAAGAAATATAATATAAAATATACTCGGGGAGGGGGGATCCACAGTTAGAGAATTGTGTATCAGGCTATTTTAAAGAGGCCACTTTTTAGGACTGAAACCAGACCATAAATGTATACCTCGTAAGAAAAAAAATTTGTAATAAGAATATAATATGTGTCTTTAAGTTTATTCATAATTATCAATGAAAACATTCAAATTTATTTTATTCTGTGGTGTCTTACATGGGGTCCGGTTTAAATATGTTCCACTGTACTATGCAATTAAATCAGTAGCGTAACTTGGGGAATGGTAACTGGGGCATTTGCCTTAGTCTAGTATTAAATTTGGCCAATAGTCGGAACACTTAAAAAATATAAGAAGTCTTCGAGATGCCAATTTTGTCAACAAATATTAACTGTGGGTCAACTGATCTCCTGAACCATTCCCCCATAGATCCACCCCTGAATATACTCAGTATCTGGTACATATTTGTAAACTCATTATTAAATTTTAACCCTGCATCAGTCGCGTTATTCAATATCGCTCAAATAATCGCGCCCCAACAAATATGAACATCACAATTTTTGTCAATTAAAATTTGTTATTGCAACATAAATTATGATTTTATCAAATTATTGAATCCTCGTATTTAAGTTATATTTTTAATCGAATTGTATAATATGAATTAATTTCATACATATCAAGGGGTTTGTAAGATTCTAACTGTTTTTCGACGTAATCAATTTCTAATTCTTCATCATTACCTACACCAACGACTTCAATCGACAAATAATTTTTTTTCCTCAAGCCATTATTCAAAAATATTTAAATATTGCCTGTAGGCAACGCTATGCATTGTAGTGTTAAATTAAAAATCATATTACAAAATAAATATACAAAAAATATCAAAACGAATAAATACTACAAATATAGGTAAGAATATAATAAGCAGACTTGGGTAGTATTCCGAATACAATATTCGGAACACTGTATTCAGTAATACATTTTAAGTATTTCGAATACTTTTTAAATACTTTTTTTGAGAGTACCTATTCAATAAAGTATTTTGAATACTTATAACGAATATTCTGAATACTATATTTCGAATACCGTTAAATCATCTCTTTTTTTTAATGATTTTATTACTTCTCCGTCGTATCTTGTATCATCTAATATCAGGTATTTATTATTGTTGTAAACCATAAACTACAGTGGCGTAGCCGAGGGGGGCTAAAGGGGCTATAGCCCCCCCATGGGCCGTATTTATATATGCACTTAAATATGCACTAAAAACACTAAAATATGCTTAAAAAAAAACGTTTGTATACAAAAATTATTATTTTATTATTATTATTTTAGCTTCTATTATTAAGAAAAAAAAATTTAGATACTGAATTTATGAAACGAACTAGCATGCATACAATACGAAAAATTGGGAACGACTGTAAAATGTTAATGAAAAATAATCTGTAAATAATCTGAGAATGATGATATCGGAATATCTAGATAATGATATCGGAATACCCGAATACCTAGAAACTATAAAAATAAAATACTACAGTACAAGCTACAATTATATACAATTATAATGGTTTCCTTATTGATAGGATTACGAAGTTTTGGGCGTACACTCTCGCTACATTGCGCGTCGCCTAAACTTGTATACCTAGGTACAGTGGCGTAGCCAAGGGAGGGGCTAAGGGGGCTATAGGTTAGATTAATAGAAGCTAAAATAATAATAATAAAATAATAATTTTTGTATACAAACGTTTTTTTTTTTAGCATATTTTAGTGTTTTTAGTGCATATTTAAGTGCTTATATGAATACTTTTTAGAGCATATTTAAGCGCTTATAACAACGTTTTTTAGAGCTATAAGTAATGAGTCCTGGTTATTAGAAAATAATACCCTAGTTTGAATGGTCATAAATGCCTTCAACTACGAAGAAGAGACAGAATTATTAAATATAACTGATAATTATATATAATTTATGAATACAAATTTTTTTTTTTAATTTTTATTTATAAATTTGTGAAAAATGGATAATTTTTCTATTATTTAGCCAAGATAATGAAATGACAATTTTGAAATAAAATCGAAAATAAAAAAATATGACTTCAATAATATTAATAATAATAATAATTATAATAATAATCACACAAATAAGTTCGTTCCTTAATTATTAAATATAAAACATATTTAAGGAATATATTAAATTATACGCTAAAAATATCAATTTTAGTCAATTTTACAAAAAAAAAAATGGAGGAATTAAGGGACGTCAAATGTTGTTGTCCTAGGACGTTTAGGACAGTTAGGACAACACTGGGTTGACTAAGCGAATTTACATAAATTAATTTTAGATTCCGACTGAAACAAGAAATGTATTAATTTTAACATGATGTGTTTTAGTTTTTGTGGATGTCAAATATTCTAGTAAAAATTATCCAATCAAAAACTTTATGGTTGGTTTTTGATAACAAATGTTGTCTAGTTGGTTCATTGGAGACTAAATAAGTCGTTTTTTTAAATTTTTTAACAGTTTACCCAATAATTGTGGAAAAGTAATGAAAAATTACAAAAAAAATTGCAATTTTTACTGATTGCCGACTTTGATTTTCCTTTTTAAATGTAATTCAAAAAGTAATAAACGTAAGGAACTTGAAATGTTCACTAAATATTTTAAAACATTTTTAACGATTTTGGATTTTTTCGCGGAAACACTAGATTTTATTAAAGGTTAGATTTTATTTTTCACTAAGTATGGACCCGACAAAAAGCTCAATCAGTATTCACTGCCATGCGTAATTTGATTCATTATATAATGATCCACATTAAAAAAATTTGAAATGTGTATCCCACATAAAATAAATTCCTTAAATACGGATTCGGGGGATCGCCCCTTTGCCCCCCCCCTAAAATACGCCTATGTGTTCAGTTCATCGTTTTCGAACGCACGATAGTGGGCTTCCGGAGTTATTTTAAATACCTCACCGTTCCCGCCGTGACCGGGTCTGCCGCGTGCTCGAATGGCGGGAACACGGTACATCAGCTGTTATAAACATCGCGGCTTCCTCCATGAGGATTGATTAAACTTATCGCGTTTCGTACCCCACCGATGGCGAAACGCACTGCTCTGGCACATTACCGACGATTCCCAACATCGATAATGGACGAGAATTAACCGTGTACACAATCATTTTCGCGAGCACCTACGGCTCGACGGTTTTCAAACGATTCCCGTTATCGTGCTCGCGGATAGCCGCGCTTTCCGTCGAATAATTTTCGCGCGTTCCAGTCGTGACCGCCTCGAATGTTTGCTCCGATTACCTTACTACCTCTGGCGTCGGATCTTTCGTACCCGTGAATAGGTGAGTTGCTCTTGCTTTTCGGTTCAAACCACGGCCACAAGTCGTCGTTTTTCTTCTCACCCTCCTACACTTCCCAACACTTTGTAATACTTAACTGTTTCTGCTTATTCTTTTTTATTTCTTGAAAAACGTCCAATTTCTCCGAAAAATTCAATGGAATGTACAACTGTCCGGTCTAATTTATCTATTATTTCTTGTCACCGAACTACTGTAACTGAGAAATAGTGTTTTACTATCAATAACTTACTCATAATGAATATTAAATACACATCATATAATATATTTATTTATATATATATATATACATAACTAATTAGTAATTGTATGTTATACTTAAATTGATATTGAGATCATTGCCCTATCCCCTTCGTTTCTACCACATTAAGCCACCCCCATTTATTGTTCATCTATCATTACACTGTTATTATTATTTTTATAGCTGGGGTGAAAATGATTGAATATTCGGACCAGGAATTCGAAAAGAAGCTAATGCTTCTGAAAGACACTCAAGATGCTATTCAATCTTTGTCCGCTTGGTGCCTGAAACGACATACAAACCATAAGAACATAATTTCCATTTGGTTAAAAGCAATTAGGAAAGTGAAGATCGAGAAACGTTTGACTTTATTTTATTTGGCTAATGATGTCATACAATATAGCAAGAAAAAAAATTATAAATTTGTTGATGGATGGGCGACTGCTATTCAAAAAGCCATACCTTATGTCAGGTGAGTTATGTTTATGGTACTTATATTTTATAGCAACAGTGGAGTTAACATTTTATGATAAAAAATGTCTATTAACTCTGTAGGTTTGTCTTCAAAAAATTAGAAAATGGAAAATTATTCCAGACTAGATCTTAGTTCTAAAATTAAATTAAATTCTTCTCTGTGCAGTTGGTATTTCAAAAGTCATACTTTTATACCTCTTAACTTTTTTCCATATAATTTATACTTTATGTATTATATTTTTAGTATTAATAATTTAAGTTTTAACTTTTTTTCTTTCTTAGAGATGAAAAAATACAATCTAAAATGTCTAGAATTATTAAAATTTGGGAAGAACGTGGTGTATATGATGATAGTTACCTAGCTGATTTAACTGGTTTATTAACAACACCAATTCAGAAATTAAAATTAGCAGATCCTGTGCAAGAGTTTCAAGTAAGAATTTAGTTAAATGTATTTAAACTAATGTAAACTATTATCAGGCCTGTATTTAAAAATTTGGCGCCCTTGGGCGTATAATTTATGCCCTCCTTTCCCACCAAAAAAAAAAAATAATAATAATAATCTAACACTTATTATTTCGTCCATAATCGAGATTATTTAATATTAAAATATAGCAAAATAAGCAGCAATACACTGGGATTCAAAATTATTTTTATTTACAAAATGAAGCTAAATAATATGTTACAGAACTTAAATTTCTATAGTACTTAGTTAGATATTGTATTTCTTATTTTAAAAAAAATAAGCCAATGCTTTTAAGTTTCAAGCCTCATTTATTGAAAGTATGGATTATGATAACTATTAATATTTTTCTCATGTCTTATAATTTTTAAATAATCATAAAAACATTATTTTAATTGATTAAATTCATATTTAATCATTTTTTAGATACATGCATTAGCTATCAAAGTACGCTCTTGTGTGAAATTGGAACAGTTAACAGATTTAAAGATGAAAACATTAAGAGAAGCTAATTTGCCTTTAACTAATAGTGAAGCCATACATAATATGTTAAAAGGTAATTATTATAAATAATAATAGGTATATTATTGTACATTCATTTTTAACTTAATTTTGAAGATAAAATCGTCAACTTAACTTATGTGTCCAATATCCATTTTATTTAAATTTTACTTTTTATACTATCTTTATAAAATTGTATTCTATTGTAGTATTGTTAATTGTTCATAACTAGTAATTTGTATTGATTTAAAAGATTTTAAATGACTTTTATATTTTATAACATGAAAATTAATTGATTATATTAATAGGTTTTATTATTAACAACCATTATAATATTACAAATTTTATTAACAAATTTTTTTTTTAGATCGAACAAGAAGTCATGAATTTCTTAATGAATTAAATGAAGGTATGGTTAAAATTGAAAGTTACGTTAAATGCCTTAAACGAGAAACTGTTGAACGTGCTCAACTAATAGATGCTTTAGAAGTAGCAACGTCTTATTATGATGAACAAAATGGAGAAGTGAAAACTGTTGCGCAAGTACGAAATATATATACATATATACTATTTATAGTTTGTTAAGTAACTAATTTAAGTATATTACAGGCATATTTTAATTACACTAAACGAGTAAAACTTCTTAAGAGTAAATTGGAATCAATGGTAGGATCTATGCCAACTGATAGTCCTATGCCTTCACCTGATGTTAATGCACCATCACCTTCAACATCTTCAGTATCTGCTGAAGACATACAAAATATAAGTTTTGAGAATTTATCAAACCCTAGTAATTATATGATAAATTCTTCAATGGAAAATATGACTAACGATTCTGATGTTTATATACCAACCACAGTTGTCACTAAAATTAAACCCTACATTGCTCCTAAATCATATAATACAGTTCAAGGTATGCACAATTTATTTTTATCAACTTGTGTTTTTTTTTTTTTTAAAAAAATATTTAATCGTTATTCAGAACTTTATGATCCAGCTTCTGTGAGTTTTCCAGCTATAGATAATCAAAGTGAACAGACATTAACCAACCAGTTTCCTTATGATGCCCCATCGCCATCTCCCGATGAGACATTTGCATATTCAACATATCCTAATCAGACAAATGTATCATTTAACACTCAAGTATGTATAATACTTATTCAGTTTATCATTATATCAATTGTATTTTAAGTTATTTTTGTTTTGTAGTTGGTAGTTAACCCAAACGATAAAAGTACTGCATATTCTACAAATAGTTATGAAGCATATGTACCTACTCCAATGTCTTCTAGTCAACAATATATAACTTCTGAATTCTCTAATATTGTGTCTCCTAATAATTCATCATCACAGATTATAAATGAAAATACCATGCCTGTGAACCTTGTTGGACAAACAGGTATTTTAAAATTCATAAAATAATTATTTTTTTAAATGTTTATCTTAAGATATTCATTTAAAATATTTGATCATAGACTAATGTATGATAAGATATAATAATTAATAATCACTAAATTTTTAGCTTGGGATGGAACAATACATAATGATAATTGGTCAACTAATGATACACCTGCTTCACCACCATTTCATGAAAAAATCTCTTATCAAGACACATCAGTTATTAATAAATCTGATGTTGTTGATCACTGTGTCATAGCTCAAAAAATGCTAGATAGAGATGAAAGAGTTATTGGTCAAAAGATAACTTCTAAAGCTTCTGATATAGATCATAGAAATTTGATCAGTTTAACACATTCTCCTCATATGAATTCACCTTTAGTTTCTACAGATATTGACTATCGATCATTTCCTGGTATTCCTATGCCACCTTCACCACCAGCTTTGCTTATGGAAGCAGTTAGTAAGCCACAAAAAGATAATGTAGAAAGTGTTGATATGGATTTAAGTGATGATGAAGATAAACCAAAATCAAACCATGATCAAAAGCATCCAATACTTTTACCTCCTCCTCTTCCACCACCGATGCCTTTTGATTTTGAGCAGCAAAATATATCAGATGTTACAAACCAATGGGAATTATCATCTCAACAGTGGAGTAATGAAAGATCTAATTTTAATGAAATGCAGTGGAATGCAGAACAACCTGAACAATGGAAACAACCTAATCAGTGGGAACATGAACAAAGTGATATAAACATAGTTCACAATCAACCTCCTCCTCTTCCCTGGCCTCAACATGAACAGAGAGGCCAAATTAATACGGATTTTAGACCAAAATGGAAAAGAGGAAACAATAACTGGCCTAGAGGCTCTAGAAATTTCAATCATCAATCTAGACCTAGTGGTAGATGGAATCAGGGGCCGCGCTTTGGACCTAGGAATCCTCCTTGGTAAGTGAATTGTTTTAAGTTAGACTTGAGACTGAGCTGATAAAATGTATATTTTTGTAATTTAATGACACTTAATAAATTCTGTTATTTAGTTCTAAAAGCTGTATTTTGAGCTTTTTAAACATGTTTGTTTATTGTTATGTATTTGTATACTATTAATTTAAGTTGATTATTATTAAATAAGATTGTTTACCGAAGACTAGACACAATTTTTTTATGTATTTTAGTCAATATGCAATAAATATTTGACAATTGTATCATACCTGTTACTACTTTAATTGAGTTGGAATCTCATTCGCCATAAGTTAATTTTTCATGCAGTCAAAATATACTAAATTTTTAACCAAAGCTGCATACCCATATATATTAATTTATATTGTATATATATATATTTATATATATTCAATTTAATTTGATTAAATATTTATTTATTCAATAAATATGTAAATGCAACATTCTTATTGATTTGTTAATTGTTAATTCAAACGTATCCAGTAATTTGTGTTTTATACATTTGTACATATAAATCATTAATAAACAATATTTTTACGTTGACTGTTATGAGTTTCAATTAAAATATAATTGTACTTTAAAGTGATTGGTTTGTTAAGTATTTTAAATTACATGTATTATTATCAGCTTAATATATTATTTAATTATGTATATTTGAAAAAAAATACTCATCACTGTACTATTGTTAAATGTCATACTATTTTCTAATAATAAATAACCTATTGTATGTATACAATGTTAATTGACATCATATTATTAGAAATCAGATCTATATTTTTTTCCTTTTAAAAAAATAAGTATTGTGAGCATGTGTTAATTATTTTAAGGAATTTAATATTTATATAATTTATATATTCACTTAATATATAATTATAGTCTGCATCAGATAAATTTGTAACAAGTAAATAATTATTTACAATTCATGTAACAATAATATTGTTAGATATTATCTAAAACAGTTACACTTAAGTCATAATTTACATTTTTAACATTATTGATGTAAACCATATGTAAAATATTAATACTATGAAAAAAAAATTATAAATTTTAAATTAATAGTAGTTTTATTAATGATTAAGTAATATAACATAATTATATGTTTTAATATTTGTTGATACTATAAGCACATATATTGTAGGTTATTCAATACAACTTAATTGGTATCGTATGTGTTTTGCTAACATTAATGTATTCCTGCAGTACTTAGTGTAATATTTTATTATTATTATTTTTAACTTTCAAAAATTTTAATTGCAAGATAATAAAAAAATAAAACAGAGCACTAAAACAGTGTATCATCATATCTCTGCTACTTTAAATATTTAAGTTTAAACATAAAAAATATAAGAACTCCCATTGAAAGTTGTGTACAATACATTTTAATTTTATAAATAAATAAAATAATTGTATAGTATACAGAAGGAAGAATACATTAATTGATATAGAAATCTTAGAATCAAAAAAATATAAAGAGTTTAAACTCTTAATTAAATAATACTATTGAATTTTTGATAAGGAACCTTTTATTATTCGATAGTATTTTAATTAAGTTCTTGAAACAATTGAAGAGTAGGTTTAATTTAATTTTCCTTTTAAAATCAGCTTTATACTTAACACTTACATAACTTAGCAAATATCAATTGTTTGACGTACTACATTGATTTTTTGGGCCCTATTAACTGATTAACATTGGATCATCTATTTTTATTATACATTTATTAAATAATGTAAATAACATATAAACTCAAAAATATAAAAAAAGTCATTTAAAACACAATTATTTACTTATATTTAAATTAATCTGGTGCAGACTATTAAATTATTATGTATGCATATTATATTTTATTTATGTACAAATAGTGTTAAGTTATAATAGCTTAAACCTGAAAGAGAAGAAAAGATAATTTGAATGGTTGAAATATTGAATTATTAATTTTATTATTATCAAAATATATCAATCTAAAATTGTATTTTGAATTTTTGACAATTCACCAATATGATTATATTATCATGAGCTTATGGAACATATAACCACATGATTAAATAAAATTGCTATAGTAATAAATGTCACACTGCTTTGATGTTCACACATTTTTAATAATTTTCTTCTGTCGATGGTTATAGAAACATAATTAGAATATTATTATTCTAATTCTTAGATCTGAAAAAAGATCCAAGCTAAAACTTAGTTGATTATATTCATATATATGCCCTCATAAATTAAACTTATATTCACTGCTCATTAGGTTTTAAATTATTTATCAGTTGTTCCTTCTGAATTAATCATAAATCATTATAAACCCAGAAATAGGTTACTTTATTCAGATTAAATAATATAGCCAATATGACCAAATAATAGCCTATCATACAATATTGTGTTAGTCAAAATCGTATTCCTTTTTTCTCCCTTTTATTATTCTTTTTTATAATTTTATTAATAAGTGTATTTATTACAGTAAAATTACTTATAATAAATTTGAATTAATATTAAAGTATTATTTACTTAAACCACCAACTATGTTACATTTTAAAATTTATTTTTAGTCTATCAAAAATATTGGTAGAGTAAAATAATGAATTTTTAAAATATTGAATTTTATTTGTTGCTATTCAATTTATTAGATCGAGAATAACTTTTTTTCAAACTATTTTATTAAAATTGTTGCTAATAATCGTTTTCATTACTAGATTGAATAATATACATGCACCTCATAATATAATTCATTATAATGACACACATTATGCAGTCGGAAATCCGTGCTACATAATATATTAACATATGAAATAACATTTCTGTGTACCTATATATTTTATAATTTAAATCTTATCGTTTTATTTTTATGAACTATTTGTGATTGGTAATTTTTTTCAATAATATTTCATACATAGTAAAAAGTAAAACAATTGTTGAAAATATTCAAATAATTAAATTGTACACATACTTGGTTTAGGATAGAATCGATGGTAAAAAAATAATTTGTTTTTAATTTTTTTATTAAATACATATTATTAGATTTCTATGATTATAAATAATAGCATTCATATTATTCACTTTACTGAGAAATACCTTCAGATTTTATCGATAAGTATACTTATAGATACTCACAATATTTAGAACAACACAGTATTTTGTTTTTTAATTATATCTTCTATTGTTATTTTTCTATACCTAATATCTCATATATTAAATTCGTAATATTTCTCAAAATAAATAAGCTATAATACCTGCCATTTGTATATTATACCTAGTAATTATTTTTACGAGTTCAATTGATATTTTTTTGACAATTGAATTTATCTTATTACTTCTAATACAGTGAATTTCTAATTTTAAAACTATTAACTACTAAATAACTAGTATACTAATTCAACATACAATATATTATCTAACCAATTACATTAGTGAGTAAATAAATGAGGTAAACATTGCTTATATAGATAAAAAATTATTATTATTTCTCAGAAATTAGTATTTTAATTAAAGGAATATAGATATACAATTTTTTATGTACATTTTTTTGTATTAAGTAACCAATGAACGTTGTTTTATATTTTTAATGTGTAATCTACTAATTATTTATTTTGTTTATATTCTTTATTTATAATACTTGTGTACCTGAAGATGTGGTTATACCATCATTTTTGTTATGAAATAATGTTTTTTATAAAACTTTGGATTTTAATTCTGATAACGAATTAAATAAATCATTTATTATAAACATTGGTAACTGTAAAATGTTATTTTATTGTTAAATGACTATGTAAACAATGATAAATTTATAATAACCTTTTGTTATACCATAAATTTAATGTATTGAAAGTATTTTATGGAATACACATTATCATTTGTGCTCATATTTTATCCCCTCTTATTATATAAACTAAATATTTTTATTATAAAATAATTTAATTGTACAATAATACTATTAAAATAGTTAAAATATTACTTATTAATCTAAATCATTAATGTTTAAGAAACAAAATCAAATTTTACCAATTTAAGTATTAGGTTAGATAAATAATAATAAATAATTTTCATTATTTTTCAAATAATTTAATATTTACCAATAGATTACACTTATGAATAAATATTCTGAAAATTGAAACTGTCACTAAATTAAACTTTGGTTCCTAAATTATTAAATTTTTAAACTAAACGGCAGACAATTATTAAGATATTAAAAAAATAATTATAAAAAGTTAAAGAACCAAAGACTAATATAATGATATTAAAAGTTGAAATTGTATAAACTTTATTTTAATAATTACCTATTTTTATCATGTTTATAGTACTTAATTAGTGATAAATTCTATTGTTTTAGGTATATTTTATTTTAAATTTTGAATTATTGCAATTGTTATAATAAATGAACAATAGCAAAACCAATGATATTAATTAATATCAATTAAATTAAAGTTAATCATTGACTTATTTGTATTAAAGTAAAATAAGTAATACAGTCTATACATATTACTAATAGTATTAAAATGTTAATTGTACCATTAAAAAATATCTTTTTTTTATACATATATATACTGAAGTCATAATTTTCTAAGGATATAATAATTACATTTTACACAATACAATTGTAAATTAATTTAGTTACTATCTAACAAATTAAAATAATTATGTATGTATTATGTTGACATTTTATATTAGATATTTATATACCTATTTCTACAAAATATTGAAGTATATTTTTCATTTTTTTATACATTGAATATTTTATTTTTATATGAAATGAAAAACATTGTTAGCTTGAAAATATCTTGATTAGCTTTTAATTCAAAATTCAAATGATATTAATTTAATTTTTTTATAATATATGTAATATATAATATATTATATACACCTATTCAATTTTGTATTCATGTACATATTTGTTTATTAATACACGTTAAATTATATTATGAGTGTGAATTCCATGGTTTTATTGTTGAAACTTTTTACAAACTCACTTTTTGTTAACTTAATATTTATAATATTGCAATTTGCTCAAATTTGTTTTGAGTAAATTTAATTTTATTACATAATTTGTGAAATTTAATATATACAATTAATTGTTTATCTCATTATGTCTATTATTTTTGAATTTTGTATTATATATTTTATAAAATAATGTGTTTCTTCCGAATTATATACCAACAATATACATTTTTTTTTAAAAAATTAAAGTATTTTATTTTATTTGAGTTATTTCTATGATAAAAATATTGAAAATCATTAAGAAATCATATATTTTTCCTCATATAAAAATATATACTGATTTATTGAAAAAATATTTGACATATGTTTATTGTTTCTAATCACATTTTCCATGTAAATTTTTTTTTTCTGAATTAATGATTAGGTCAAATTTGGTCAGTTGATTATTGAAAACAGTTATAATAACTTATATGTTATATGGTAAGCCATCTTTCTTAAAGTTTTCATTTCACAATGAAATATCTGTTAGGTATTAAAACATTACTTTTATAACTATTCAATTATTATTAATCGTACCTATAGTATAGCCTATATCTATTAGTAATTACTTGCTGTGTAATAAAATATGAGTGCAATAAGAAAAATCAAAAATATTTTGCAGTATATTTATAAATAAATATATAAAGTGGTGTCACTGGACTTCTCTCAAATCTACATATTATTTTTTTTATTTTTTCTACTTAGTTTTCAAAATTTACTTATTGTATAAACTAATTGTATACAGATTGTAAATATTCATTTTATTAAAAAAAAAAATTAATTTATAACATTAAATATTATTCAAATACCATTAAATGTATAGTAATTCAGCTGGTATATTGTAAAATAGTTGCATTTCTAAAAAAATATTAATATTAATTTTGAACAAAAATCAGTCATTATAAATTATTGTGCACAGTAAATTACATTACAATAGTACTTAATTAACATAATATATACTTTTTTTAAAAAAAAATTATTGATGGACTATACTTTAATCATATTTTATTACATATATTAATCAGTTATATTTTATTGTTACATAAATGTAAATAAAGAAATAAAATTAACAATTTTTTTCGTACTTGTGTATTTTTAATTAAAATTAATGTTGCCTGGAGAGAACGTTACCAATAAATCTAAAATGTATTGATCTATAGTACATAATTATTCCTCATAAACTCTTCTGTCACTCTACAAAAAACTATCTCGAATGTGCCCATGATCTCCTTGTATTATAGATAGGTACATTTTATTGTATTCCTCAAATTCTACCTATTCTCATTGAATATTTTCTGTGACAGCCATCGAATTGATTGCTTTATGTTAAAAGGAAATCAGATAATAATCGTTCAATTTATATAATTGATGTAAACTTATCCTATACCCGTGTTTTTTAGTGACCGTTCACTTTTCATTAAATATTATATTTTTATAAATATAATTAGGTATAGATTGACCAAAGGAAACCTATTTCTAACCCATTGTAAAAATGTATAAGGAGGTCATACACTTTTTCAGTGGCGAAAATCTTACAGTTATATTAATAAAAGATCTTGTACATATTAAATGTACAAGTTATGAAATTAACATACGTATCCGTCTACTTATGTACAGTATAAATCCCTTATCAAATGTTTTTATCATTTTGTGTAATACTTTAATTAATCACATCTATACACCTAAGTGTTGGATATTATTTTTTTGGCAGCATACCTATTCGATTTAAGTTTTTGACAAATGTGCATTTTCTTTTAACAAAGGTAGTTAATTAAAAAACAACAATACAATTAGCTATAAACAGAAAATCTCCCCGAAATACGTCTGCGACTTTAAAGTAAGCCAGGAATGATGTGATTTGTACTTCTTTGTGTCATTATTTCAGTAACAATCATGCATAATCTACAATAATCACATTTAGTAAGAACCGAGAGTAGATGTATGTACCCATACTAATTATATGACCTATTTATTTTTAACACAATATTATACAACAAAAGTAACAGATATTTTTTTAATAGATATTTGCTGTAGGTAGATGATTAATAACAATAGTTTAATTAATAATGTACTTATTTTTTGCAGGTCATAGTCATAAACAACATCAGCAGTTTTTTCTAAGTTGAAAAAAAAGTTTCGTTCTTTTAAATACCTATAATACCGTATGGTACATAGTGTTAGTAAGTATTTATACGTGTTTGAATATTTTTCTGAAATATCTAAATCTATTATATTATTATTTTGAAAAAAAATCTACAAGACCTTTACATTTTGTTGTTTTTAGAGGTCCTTTCCCACTGGTGCGTTTGGATTTAAGAAATATACTATCTTAACGTATTTGTATGTGATAATTCCAAGTTTTCGGAAGAGTTTACACCGGTCCAGTCATATCATGACCAAATTTAAATTGTGAGCACGAGCACTAAACCGATCCGGGCGATTGCCGTACATTCATCGTAAATATAATCAAAAAGCTCACAGTTTGTTTTTTAAATTTTAAAAATGTATAATGAAGGAATCATCAAATTAGGAAATGACTTGAACCAGAGGGATAGAACCTTAGATCATAGGCGGACATTTGGTTGAATTTTTTTTTTTTGGAGGGGCTAAAGAATTCAATGTAAAATAATCCGCAGGGGCTTCCCCCACAACCCCTTCCAATGCACAAGTAAAACTTATTAGGTATTAAAAATATAGATATGTTTAAATTGTAAAAAACACTAAATAACGTATATTATATTATACGTAAATAATTAATACTTTATTTTAATGGCAAATATCTATTTGTATCAGCAAAGATATTTAAAATATCATCGCTTTTTATATTTTTCGATATATCTTTTTCAATATATAGTAATGAAAGATCGCTGAATCAATCATGAACCAACGATGTCCTTAGCCAAGTTTTTATTTTTTTCATTGCACTGAAACTTCTTTCGTAAGTAGCTGAACTAATTAGTGTTGTTAATGCTATTGTAAATAGATTTTTATTATTTCTTATTTTACGATTTTCAAAAAAAAAACGAACAGATAATTATAAAAACAATGAATAACATTTCTAACAAAGTATTGATTTTGAGAGGGCTATTAAAATATTTGGGAGCTAAGCCCCCCCCCATGTCCGCCTATGCTCAAGATGTTTGTTTTATTTGTGTAACATTATATAATCTGTATCGGTAAAGTATCAAATTAATAAATAATATATATATTTATATACATAACTAAAATTAAAGCTAATTTAACACTGACACGCATTTCTGTAAAAATATGTTTGGATTGCTTAACTTAAAAAAGTACATTTATCACGTATAAATATATTGTATTAATAAAATTAAAATAAAAACAATTATAGGTAGATGTACTGAAATCTTCAATAGTTATACACATGTAAACAACATTACATGATTAGCACCGGATTTAAGTCTCAGGAGGAAGGGATGCAAATACCAGTTTGAAGTCCTTTAAAAAAAAATGTTCTCATCATAATACTTCTATATTTATTTAATACATGTTAATGTATTCAACAACTAATAAAAACAAAATTTAAGTACCTTAATTTAAAAAAGTAAAAAAAAAAAATTACGAAACAGACAATTTTCAATTTTAGATTTTGGTTTTAGAGGCCCCTTAGAGCTTGATATCCTGGTGCATTGTATCCCCTGTACTCTCACTAAATCTAGTACTGTACATGATTGTTGTTTTTTTATATAAAAATGTATGAATATATTTAAAAACGATGGTTGTTCTTTATAGTACAATCTAAAAAATTGTATTTAATCATTTTTTTGACATATAATTTTCAGTCCGAATTTACCAATCAATAAATGCGCGAGTTTTTTATAGGTGCATAAATGTACATGTTTCGTGGCTTTATTAGATGCATGAGTATCTATAAATCATAAATGTACGACAGTTCAAAGAATTTTATTTCACGAATACAGTGTATTGTAAAAAGAACTCTACTCTTCACCGTGAAATTAGTCGACGAAGATGTACGTGGCTGGACTAAAGCGAGGGGACGCAAGTGGACTTCTTACAGCACTTATAAAGACCTTTTAGTTAAATAAAACAGTTGAAAAATTGGCTTTGCCATTTAGTTGATGTCACTAGGTGTTAAAAAGTGTTCTTCAAACAAAACTAATATTAAAATTTAATTATAAATTATATAGTAGTATATACTTTTATAGACGTTTTTTTTTAATTTTTTTTAATTTTATCTGTTATTTAAAACAATAAGTAAGTAATTTAAAAGTTTATACATTTTTATAGCACATGAATAATTTATAGAAGAAATTTTTCACTCACAGCATCTCATAATATATTCATTTATTTATAATTAATAATTAGTAATTGTATGGGACTATATGGAACACTGAGAATGATATATGGATTATAAGTCCTCTGCTTTTTTTACCACATTAAGTCATGCACGTGGGTGAAAAGCATTTTTTAAATTCGCAATATTACGCCGTTGTCCATTTTATATTCTTATCTAAAAATATCTATAAATAATCTCCATCTACAAAATACAGCACACTTTTTTGGTATCGAAAATTCCAAAATTTATAATTTTTCTCGCAAGTCAACGCCTACATTTTTAACCACTCACCCTCGATGGATCCCTTATGGGTAATTTTGATTATAGCTACACGTATAAATGAAACGAAAACCGTCGATAATAATAACCCTCATTCGTTGTTCGGAATTCGTATCATTCTACGCACTACGTCAACGTAGTATTTCTAGTACCATACAACAGAATGACCTAACACAATTAAATAGGTTGTAAATATCGAAAAAAACGAATCGTTACATTTTTTTGTGCTGCTCAGTTCATTAAGGCATTAATAAAACCATTTAATTTATTTTACACAATGTACTTTACAAGTTTTATTTGTCCCTGGTTGAAAATTAAAAACACATTTTTAAACGAAGCACCCTAAGTTAATCCGACAAAACGTCGTTTTCCTCTATTGACCCTTACTTTGCATCATCTTGTGAAGGATATCTAGTTCTTGAAAGTCATACATCAGCTACTGAACATCTTCATTATTTCGCACAATAACTTGCAACGTTCTTTTTTGCAACTCCAACATCTGAAGTGACGGCTATCAGCTCTAAGTCGTAGCATTGAACAATGTCACGAATTTTCATGATCAATCTTTAATTATTATAAATACATTTATCTCATCATAAACGTCTATATTGCATAAATGTGAACAATGAACCATGTTCACCGCTTCATTAAAATAAAATCTTCAAAACTATATTTTTTTTTTGTCATTGTTGTGAACATACTGCATCTGAAGATGGGATCATGTATATGAAATTGGCAAGGCCTTTTTTTTTTTTAATTGACTAAATAGATAATTTTTTTTTTTTTTTACAGACAAATACAGACAAATATAGTAAGTATAACATTAACTTTTTTTTTTAGTTGAACAACCCTTAAGTCTATAAACTTTATACCGTCTTGTGACAAGCGTTAGCGAAAATATTTTCGGGCAGCAATAACGTGGTGTTGTCGAATTCATACATTTGGCGGAAAAGAATTAGACTAATTCATTAAATATACGGTTTTAAATTGGATTCATTGAAATCAGTAGCTTTGAATTGTTCAATGCGCATATTCGGCAACAGTGTTGCTTAATTTATTTAATTATTCGTATGACATAGACAATGTTAATATAAGGTGAGTACATTTTGTGGTAATAAGCCAGTGACAAATTATTAAATTATGTATAAACATAATATGAAGAAAGATGGAGAAATAATAATTTATCAGGTAATATTAGAATATAAATTTATATTGATGATAGCAATTAATTGAGTGATTATAAGATAATATTTATATTTTTCATCTCATTAATTTAGAAGTCCCATGAACGATACCTTGGAGCTTCCCGTTAAACTTTATTTTAGAGCACTCACGTATGATATAATCTATATTATAGTTGGAAGCACCGCAGTCATATCCTAGGTTGGGAGTTATGTCCTATTTAAATATACTTTGAATTACCAAATGCAAATATTCGATAACGATGTTGTTGAGTTCAAGAATCCGGCGTAACATAGGTATATGATATTGGTAAAAATTGGTAAAGACTAAAATAAAAAAAAATTGTACTTATCAATTTATTTTTATCCACTTAATTTATTCTTTAGACGTTAATCATGTTAAGAAGTAATACTTGTATTATCTTCACTTTGATTTCAATGTTATATAACGTGTGATATTATGATAAAGATTAAAATCCAAGTTTAATATATTAACTCGTAATTTGTAAAATATATTACATTTTTATAGCTGTCACATTTATAATGATATTTATTTATATGCATACATTTTATAACATCAAACATGACTTAAACACTAAAATATTTTAGTACAAATGAAATAAGTTGAGATAAGATGTGTAATATATATAATTATTAATTTTATAATATTAAATAAATATTCATTGACCTAAATGCTTTAATTTTAATACATCTGATAAGGTCAACCACTTTTTCATACATTAGGTATTGATCATTTTAATAAAACAATTAATAACTAAAATTTTTATTTCGTTGATTCAATAATACTCTAGTTCAGGACCAGTAATTTTGATGCTAGTCACGGCTTTGACTTAAGAATTTAATTATAAGTACATTCAAATATAAAATATTCTTCACTTTTTGGGAATAAAAAATAACACAATTTTAATAAAATATATAGACATATTAGTTTAAAATGGCAGACTGCTTAATGATTTTGGTCAATAAATACTTACTGCAATGAAACAAACTCTGAATAAATATATAAAAGTATATTGAAAACATGTACTTAACTCTTAACTATTTAATATTAAATTCTTATGATACATATCCATTAACCTCTTATGATTAGATTCTTTTAACTAAACCTAAAAACATTACTGAATATACGTTTACGTAAAAGTAAATATTTTATTTAGATATGGAAAACTTTTTAATCTCAAAAAACTAATTGGTGATATTCAAAAACTAACAAAGTATTTTAATATATGAATTTAAATTATAATACAAACGTTTTATTTTAATTTGAAATATTTTAGTCTTTCTCAAATAAGTAATAATACATTTTAGTTAGAGATAGTTAATTTATCTTTGAAAAAAAATTAAGTATTCATTATGATATTTTTCGAGAGTTTCAATTCGTTTTATTGAAAATTATTTTAATTTTGATTTTGATTCTACACGTCAAAATTTGAATACGAAATATATTATTATACTCCGTTGCGGTGTATTAAATTATAATTTATTCAGAATTTTATATTGTATATAATCATTATAGATAATATTTTAAGGTAATAATATTCAAATCCCAAAGGTCACAACAAGTCGCCATAACCGAGTAAGTAATGTCGATAAACATGTCGGTTTAAATTTACATGTTTGTCTGAGATAGTACTACTCTTCTGTGTAAACCCTTTTGTTTGGTTATTATTTTTTCAACCTTGCTTATCAGATTTGATATATGGTTAGTATAGACGTGTTTTGTGTGTGTGCGTGCGTGCGTATGTGTGTTCAGACGTGTATAATATTTATATTAAAATATTATGTATACATGTATTGTGGACACGATGTACGGTAACAGAATACATCAATCGAGTTACAGAGAAGAAAAACTTGTTAAACTTTGACCTTGGCCTGTGGTTACAACGAACAAGTAGAGGTGGTGATGATAATAATAAAATCGTTAAACACAATAAACGCCATAACTGGACTTTCGGCCTGCGCCGAACTGGTCGTCAGTGTGAATTTGTTTTCGATAGTGTATGACGATGTTAGGCGTACAATTTATTAGTGCGGTCGCACTTTACGGCCTTTTGGCCCTTGTCGATGTGTCACAAGCCTTTAAAACGGTATGCTACTACGACGGCAAAGCTTTATGGAGAAAAGGTATAATCATTTGTTTGTAATGAGTTACCACTTTATTACAAGCGAAGTATAATTATTGTGTACATTTATTTATAAGCTCGAATGACACAATGGTGACTTGTGAAATCGTTTATTATATTTTTGCAAAATCAAAAATTTTATTTTATTTCATATATGACAAGTATTTTATTTTTATTTACATCCCTTTTAGGTTCAGACTAAACATTTCTGAGTTCCATTTAATTTATAAAACCAATCTTATTATCTTTAATAATAATAAAAATGAAAAAAACATTGTTACTTGTTTTAATTCAAATCAAATTCTGTATAAGTATTAGACATTGGTCAGTAAAATTGTATAGGTTAACCTAACCTATATCGGTTATTTTTTTTTAACTCAAATTTTACTTTCCTAATTAATTTTAAAAATAAAATAAAACAATATCACGTAAAATTTGTATCTGTAGTAGAATTATTTATTTATAAATAGGTCCAAACAACTACTGCTTAGATTTAGATATAAATTAATAAGAATTTCAAGCTTATAATTTAAAGAATATTAATCTTATATAATTATAAAATTAAAATGCAATTTTTTTTTTCTCATGACCAAAATAATATCAATTTATGAACTATTTTAATATATTATGAAGCATGCATTAATTTTACTTTTGATTAAAAAAACATAATATTACACTATATGTAATTTTTAACAAATCCATGTACATATTAGATTGTATTAATTAAATAGCATTATTATTTTAGGTATGTATCTAACGTAGAAATTATTATTTATATTTTCGTGGAAAAAAGTTTATTCGTACAGTCATCTATGCCAACGGTTCTCAATCTTTTTTTTCTTCCGTACTCTTAAGCCAAATATTTTGCTATTAGTATAGTATATTATAATATAAATATTGCAATATTCTATCTCCATTTCTCTAAAATAAATTCATGGTTAAGTTTTTCATTTTTAATAACAAATATTGCATATTTTTGAAATGAATCGTTTTGAATAAAACAAATTCACTTTTCCGCCGTTACCCAATTTTTTTTTCGTGTGGTCCTTGAGATCATCTCGTGTTCCCCAGGTTAGGAACTACTGTTCTCTTCATTTGTTAAGTTAATCACTTATACTTTTACTACATACCTATGTTGATAATCGCAATTATTTATTTCTAATATATCTTATTAGTATTAATAATTAAACGCGAATATTAAGATATGTATGTACTAAAATTATAAGTAATATTTTAGTATTAAAAAAATATTAAATACATTCCATGAAAATTATAATTGTAATAAATAAGTACATTTTTACGTATAAATAAAATTATTATAGTGAAACTCTTAATTCGCATTAATTTATTAGCTAGTACATTTATTTGATGTTCAATTTTTTCCGGTTGAATAATGTACAATAACCTACTTCTTTCAATCAGTTATTATTCCATGAGCTTAAGTGTTTTTAGAAAATTTTCTATTTTTATGTCCTTTTACTTTATTTACGGGACGAGGTTGGGTTAATTCAAAACAAATCTGATGTCCAAAAGTTAATAAAAGTTGCTTCTCCTGATGCCTCCTTCTCCCACAATTATTACCGGTTTCAAGTATAGAAATTTTCTGGTTTTCCAGTCTCTGGACCAATAGTGTTTATTGCAATATTTTATATTACATAAATTATATTATTATATAATTAAATTTTATTTGTATAGATGTCGTTAAAGTTGGCGCTGAGGAGTTAAAACCAGCCTTAAGTTATTGTACGCATTTAGTGTACGGTTATGTGGGTATTGACGATGACAAATACAAAGCAATATCTTTGGACCCCAAACTGGATTTGCCTGAAAGCAAAGACGTCAAGGGTGGAAAGGGAAACTTTAAGTCCATCACGGCTCTGAAGAAAGCTTATCCAAGCCTTACTATATTGCTCTCGGTCGGTGGAAATGCCGATATCGAAGATCCTGATAAATATCTTAGCGTTGTAAGTATTATGTTTTACTTGTATACACTTGTACCTATTATATAAAACGGTTAGTTGGAAAACTGTAACGAAAATATATTTGCTGCGTAGCTGGAGACTCCCAAATCGAGAACCAAGTTCGCATCCACTATTTCAGATATGGTAAAAGAAAATGGATTCGATGGCTTAGACTTGGCTTGGCAATTCCCGGTAGTAACCGAGAAAAAGGAAAAACATACATGGGGTAAGCTATAACGTTTTGTAGTATTATATAGTGTTTAAATCAAACATTCATTAATTCGGCGTTGTAACATTGCTGTATATTTATTACTACATTTGACTGTTTTAAAGGTTCTTTTATCCACAAAGTAGCCAAAACAGTGGGCATTACTAGCAAGGATACCAAGGAAGCCGAGCATAAAGAGCAGTTCACCGCACTGGTCCGTGAAGTCAAAGGAGTGTTAAACGCTAACAATTGTCCTTACTTGTCGGTCAGCGTTTTGCCACACGTCAACTCCACCGGTAACTATAACTAGATTTATTACCCTACCAAAATGGTAATAATACATTGATGGTTAAAAAATACGGTAAAACTGTATTTGTAATACACCGGCAACAAAAAAATGATTCTATAAAAAATATTTTTAACTATCCCAAGCAAAGAATTCTAGAAAATACGTATTATTATTTCAATAGCAATGAGTGGAGACCACTTCTTCAATGATAAATCATTTTATAATTCACGACGACTCTCTGCCAATAGAGATTTCGCTGTATCATTATTTTGAAAACTATACAGTACAAATACACTTGGTTATAGAGTAGGCTACGTTTTTTAAAAACTATTTGATTTTGTTGTGTCGTATTAGATAAAATATTTAGGTGAATACTGATTAAGTATTAAATTCACTAAGACGCATAATACAATTAGGTATTACCGTTAAGTTAACATTTATTAGATTATAATATTATATGCATTATATTATTAATTAATTTAAATAAAATATAGTCCATAGGTGCTCTCATTTTCTGTTTCCTGTGTCTGGGGTTATAATCTACTTATTAATAACGTTAATAATTAATACAGAATATAATATATACAGACTTTCTGAAACCGTCAAATCTTTGCCATTAAAAAGCAAATCTGAAAATTATTAATTCTAATATTCAGTGCTACTACGCTACTTGTTGTGCCAATATATATATATACATTATTTCTGAAATTGTTTTACACATAAATTAATGGATATGATATGCTGGCCAATGAAAGACAAATTATAGTGCTTATAAATAAATCCATGTTTTACATGACAGTAAATCAGCTTGTGCATCATCAATTGTAAAAATAAACATTTGAATGGTCGTCTTTTAGCAATACCATTCACATTATTTATAATGTATTTTTCAAATAAATAATAAATCATCTCATTCGAAAACGGTTCTGAACGAAGGTTAATACATAATTTATTTTGGGTATCTTATCTTATAAAATGGTTGCTTAAATACAACAACACGTGATAATCACATACAGCCTGTATGGAAATCAATTTAGCTTTACAGAAACATGTTTAAAAAAAACCATAGGTTGGTGAAAACTATTTCTTCAAAATTCGTATTTCTATAAGCTTAAAAAAATAGCTAAAAAAAAAGTCGCATTACTCTACTACAGGTAAAGCGTCCTAAGGATATATTTACATTTAATTATCGCCACGCTGTGAAAAAAAAATTCAAAACTACCTGTATCTACTTGGCTTTAGGAAATATAAATGTGCTTTCCGAACGAAATGTTACATTATTTCGATTTTTCTTCTCGGTAATGTCTTGTTTATACTGAAGAAAAAAAAATCGCAAAAGCTAAACGCATTCTTTACTACCCGTAGCGATGCCACACTACCGTTACCAGTGAAGTTCCCAGAAAGTCGACGTGGGGTTGGGGTTGGGGGTGTTGGTTAAGATATACATAATATTTGGGATTTTAGTGGTAGGGGTGAGTGATTGGACCCCTTTTCGGTACGCCCCTGGTTGTTGCATGTTTTTCTCGTGCCGTGTACATTATGCTAATAACTTGTTCGGTCCGCGCAGTGTACTTCGACTTCCCCGGACTACAGAAGTATGTGGATCACTTCACGCTGATGGTGTACGACTTCCGGACCCCAGACCGTGTGCCCAAGCTGGCCGACCATGCAGCCCCGTTCAAGTTCGTGTACGCCGACCGGCTGGCGTGGCAGAACATCGAGTCGCAAGTGAACCGCGCCATCGCCCTGAAGGCCGACCGCAGCAAACTGATCCTGGGCATATCCACGTATGCCCGCACGTGGAAAATGGACAAGGACAGCGGCAAGTCCGGTGCGCCGCCCGTGACCGCCGATGGCCCCGGCGAGGAGGGCACGTACACTAAGACGGAAGGTCTGTTGGCCTACTACGAGATCTGTCCGCACCTGGTCGAGAGCACCGCAGCCACCACATCTCTGACCCTATACAGGTAAGATGGTACAACGTTACGTTACGGGGTCGTTAAAAGTATTTTTTTTCTTAATCATTCGTGTTAGACAATACAACACCGGAAACCGTACACCTAATGACGTAATAATTAATGTCTATGTAGTAAAACACCACCAAAAAATCAATTAATTTTTGTTAACAATCATTAGAACCGGTATGGATACGGATCGAGATAACTTAGTTGTTATCATAAACTTATATTCTATCATAAACAACGTTATGATCCTTAGAAGGATCATAACGTTGTTTATGATAGAAATTCGATTTAACCTTTGACACTACTGATGCGAAGTAGATTAAATTGAATACATTTAATTCGATATGTAGATTCCATCACCGAATCAGAAGTACAAAGGGTTTCTTCTGCTACACAGATATTATACGAGTAGTTATCACACATCTAGGGTAATAATTATAATACTGTATAAAACCTTATAGGGTCTTCTTGAAGTAATTTTATTGACGTAATAATAAAGAGTCTACTGTAAGCATATAGGATGACTAAGCATTTTATGAAATTGTGCAAGTCGAGTTTTATTTTTTTCCAAATACTGTGTTAATTTTTCAAAGTCAATAAATAAAGTAAATAACTCGTTTGTCATTTCTCTTTAGACGTGTACCAGACCCGAGTAAAAACCTCGGCACTTATGCTTTCCGCTTGCCCAAGGACGACGTGAAGGGCATTTGGATCAGTTTCGAAGAACCGGAAACTGCCAAACAAAAGGCCACGTACGTGAAACAGAATAGTTTGGGTGGCATAGCGTTGATAGATCTATCTTTGGACGACGCCAGAGGAATTTGCGATTCGGCAAAATACCCAATTTTAAAAGCTGTTAGGAACGTGTTGTAAATTGTAATGAACCCAATATTCCACTTTATATATATATATATTTTTTTTAATTATAAGCGTACATTTATTTTGTATCCAACTATTGAAACAATAATATTTTTATACCGGAATGCTTATAGGTACAATCGAGTTTTCTTGTCTAAAGAATAAAACGATTATCACTTTTACTTAAATATAAGGCATTTTTTCATTAATAATATCTACGTCATCCATATATTTGTAGATGTTCAACACTTATACATGATACATAAAAAGGTATACGAGTATGTATAAACATGCTTTTTTTCAAATTCAAATTTTTTAAAAACTGCAGTGTTTTGCGTACAAACAATAATAAACGAGCTGGAAACCTCAGTTAACAGAATCCGTATAGGACATACATTACTAACACACCAGTACCTGATGAAGAAAGAAGACCCACCATTATGTGCCAGCTGCAGTACTCCTCTCTCAATCAAACACATCATAACTGAATGCCTTTCATACGAAACGGATAGACGGGAAGCACGCATCTCAAACATTCTGTCTGAAGCCCTCCACCCAGACAACATAAGACTAATAATAACCTTTATTACTAAGTCCAACCTTATCAATTAGTATTTAATATGTAAATTATATAACATGTAAATGATTTAGAGTTAAACTCATTGTTGCCAATGGCCATTGTTGCCGAGGCTTAATTTAAATAAAAAAAAAAAAAAAAAATTTAAACAAGCATTGAAAAAATAACTTAGCTTATAAATAATTGTTATACCCTTAAAAATGCACTACGCAATGCAATTAAAATCTTAACAACATATTGGTCAATCAATATCAACAATATTGGTTAATCAACATCAACCCGACCGTGCGCGCGTGTCTGTACAACGGACACGACTTTCTTTAGAATTTCAACACCTGAATTCTAAATCAATACACGTCACAATTTTTCATCATTTGAACACGATAAAAACGTGCGGTAAAGTGGTGAGTATTCCATGCACCAATGCAATATCAACGCAGTAGGTACTATAGTTACATATACGAGAACGTATTATAAATATAAAAAATAAAAAAATAAAAAAACAAATAATTTGGAAGAAGTGAATGAGGACATCTTTCTCCTCATGTCTTAATGTCGAAATTTTCTTTTATGTAATATCAAAATAACTAATTGTATATATTTCACGGATTGCATTTGTTTATGTATATAAGTATATAGGTATGAAAAAAATAACAAAAAGTTCTATACAATTATTTTATTGTGTACTCTACAGCTCCTATATGCAAGGTAAACACTTCTCCGTTTTTTTTAGCCAAATTCGCTTCATGATCGAATACATAATTGCACATGGGAGCCGTTACAGTATCTATTACGGCTATTCGCTACCTTATCTAGCAGACAAATAAATAAGAAAATATCTAATGAAATCGAAGTTACCGCTGGATTAAGACAGCATCTACACGACAGGGTCCCTCATTTCGGCTAGGATACCGGGATAGAGACCCTAGATCCAGTTTGAAATGAACGACAAGTGACGCGTACTCGTCAACAATTACTATACAACAGTCGTGGGTACGTCTGTTTGGTTCCTACAACGCTTAGAGCATATTTTACTATATTTTGCGGGTTGAAAGAATATCTACAAGCTCATTGTTTGTTATTATTAGATCTTTTTGATTTTTTAATATTTTATTAAATTTTTTTACTGAATCAATTTAAAAACTCAAACTTCAATCGAAATACTGTTAAAACACGTATATTCGATTTATGATATAATAAAATTATTATTTTAAGAAATACATTTTTATATAAACTGTAATTATAAATTTAAAACTAATAAGTCATATTCAAGCCATTAAAAAACCTAAACATTTAGGACCTTTTGCAATTTTTATGTGATAAATGAACTTTTTTTTTGCCCCACTTATAAAAGGTCATTTGTTACCTCCAATTCTTTCCTCTTCCTTTCGTTACACGCATTCGGCTAGAATGTGTTTGACCTATAATGGATGAGCAAGGGTTCTTCTTTTTAGTATTAAACAACTGTATATTGGATGTACCCAGAAGTATTGTGAACTTAAAACTATAGAAAGAAAATTGACATTTTACTAATGACAACTACCCACCTTCCATCTACCGACAAAAAAAACCCATATCAAATCTATGGTTTTTTAAAAATTTTAGAATATACGAAGACTATAATTTATTCGACTACATTGTGTTATAGAATATAATATTCATTAATCAATGGTTATACTATAAAATAACAATATTTGAATAAATCAAAAACAACATTAGCCGTTATTATGCTGATTAAAGTGATTGGTTTATTATTAACAAGAAAACTACAATTTTATTGTAACATATTATAACCATGTTCGATAAGTGTACTTTAATGAACACTAATAATTATAAAATACTAGTTTATCTACTTATAAATAATAATTATTTTCATATGTAACAATTTTGAACATAAGTTAATAATATTTTTGAGTAGTTTTTGTTTTTACGATCGTAAACATATTAAGTTATTTTATTATAATAATGAGATAACACGTATTATACGAATACAGTTTTAAAATAATTTAAATAAATTGGCGTTCGAATAAACTTTTCTTATTTATTAGGAGTTAAAATCTTAATAATAAGATGTCCACATACTATGAATTAATTTACAGTACTGTAATATTTTCGTTAAAATAAATTAATACCAATGTAGGTAAAATAATTTAATGAAAGAAAAGCTGAATAGTTATTAAGTGGTAGACTATGTAGTCTACACATCAGCTTAGGTATAATTCTAAAATTCTTTACATAAAAATGTTATAAGCTTTATAACAACGTATTGGCATAACCTCGTTTGTACCTGATATTTTGCTTTCACAAAATAGAGTAACGAGAGAAAATAAGCGGTGACTAATTTATTTTTTATTTATCTAAATTTTCAATTTTAAAATGCAGCGATTAATATGCCAATTACAATGATTCCTCGATCTTGATGAGCTCCTTTATTCCATCATTCATTTCCTTCACGGCTTGGTATTCAGTCAAACCCATTCTTCTTTTGTTTGAGATATCATAGACACCGCCTTCTGCATCCGTATGTTCTCCGCGAGTACCTCTAACCTGAAATCGTTTATTAAAATATATTATTTTGACCTGTAATAATTTGTTTATGAAGCATGTATGTACGTGTGTTGTTCTATAGAACAATACATATGACAATTTTTTTAATAATAAAATTATAATTATCTGTAATTTAAAAGAATTAAAGTAAAATTAAATTTATACTTATGTAAAAGATTCTTTACAAGAAAGAAGTATTTTAGTTCAATATTATAACGATAATTTTCAATATATTTTAATAGAAATTTGAATCCATTTATAATTTAAATTATGCTACTATAACTAAAATAGTACACCGTTTGAATAAAAAAAAATATTATCAACACCAATTTTTAATATTAAAAGAAGCTCAATAATATAGTTTTTTTTTATTTTTATGTTAGGTATTTCTATAGATTCTAACACAGTGGTGGACAAACTACGGCCCACGTGCCAACTCCGGCCCACCATCATTTAATATCTGGCCCGCGAAAGTCTTCTATATTACAGCACTTATTTGTATAACTGTAATATTTTGCATTTACGTAAAAAAAAATTTAGAATGCATTTTTTTATGGCCCGCGATAAAAAAAGGTTGTTTTTTATGGCCCGAGGAAAAAAAAGTTTGACCACCACTGTTCTAACACATTACATTCTTTACCAAGGGCGCACCCAAGGGGGTGGCTAACGGGCTTTAGCCCCCCCCCCCATAATGGCTAGCCCCAAACATTATGATAATTTTATTAGGTTTATTGATAATTAACATTTGACTTTAAATTATTATAAAAAAAATTATCAACTATAGTATATCGATTATTTTATTTAAGCCATCTTCCTACTTAAGAATCATTTGAGTATTCTTTAAATAAACTTTTATTTTTCTGCAAACGTCTGAACCAACTTTGTTCTAAATGGGATTTACAGCAAACTATTTTACACTGTGGAAAACTCTGAAGAACAGCATTGTGTGCAGCTTTAAGATTTCTGTACATATTTCAAAATAAATACTACCTATTAATATTAAAATTATTTAAATTTAGCCCCCCCCTAAAAAAAATCCTGGATGCGCCCCTGTTCTTTACCAGTGGATGTATAACATAATCATGATATAAAATTGTATAGTTTAATATTCCATAAATATTATAAACAACAAAACATAACATATACCTATAAGTAAATTTTATAAGAAATGTAATTACTTGTAAGTTGTATTTTCCAGCAACTTCTTCCAATTTAGATTTGTCGGCGGCTAACTTAGGCAGCTGAATGTGCACTGATGCACGAATAGTTGTGCCTAAATTTGTTGGACAGAATGTCAAAAAGCCCAAACGGTCGTGGTGCGAAAATGGAAGATTCTTTTCCACTTCATTTACAGCTGTGACGAGCCTCTTATACACCTATTATTGTCAACAATTATAAAATATTACAATCTATCCGATGAGAATTTTTAAATTTGAATTAAACTTACTTCTCCTAAGTTGCCTCCTTGTTGCATGGATATAAGTCTCAAGTGATCTTCCTCGTTGCACCAGACAAGGAAAGTTTTGTTCTCGTTGTGGAATATACCTCTGCCCGTGGGCCAGAATCGTGAAGCATTAGCAGCCTGTTACAACAAACAAAATATTTTATCAATTAACTAACTTGACTCGGGTTCCATAGTAATAATTAAGAATTATTATGGAAGTACATACTATAATAATAATGTACATACTAAATATGTCGACATTCTTTAAATAAGAAGAAATGTGAAAAATTTTATTTTTATAAAGTCTAGTTCTTTTCTAGTTATTAATGTAATTTAGGCTATTTTTATTAGTCTGACTAATGATATGTATAAAACTAAATGTCTCAACAACTATTTTTTATTAGTGTACGTAATGTACTTTTAAATTTGTACTTCCACACACAATAGTTTTTAATAAGACGTTTAATGAGAGTCATTCTGTGTATAAAAAAATTACAAACCAATGTGCCCAAACCAACTTTTTTCTGCGAATATATCATATTTTAAACATAATAATTAATTAATTACTTATATCAATATATAATAGAACTTTATCTATTATGTGATTTTTTGTTTTATATAAAAGTAAAAAATAATTAATCAGATTTCGAATAATGAATCTGCAATCGATTTTAATTTTACAAAAAATAAGTGAATCAGACTAACTGAAAACTTGAAATAACATTAGTAATATTATACACTTTTTGACGACTCTATAATTAAAAATGTTTAATTTTTCTCGAAATAACATTATTACGATTATTATTATTATATTATTACAAAACAACCAATAGTGGTACGGTTATTGCACAACTTAAGAATATCTTTAAAAATATACTTAGATTGCTTACACAAACTCCCTTAAACAAAGAGTGTATAAGAGTATAATACATGTACAGCTTGTATATACCAATTATTTAAATTGATTTTTTCACTATTTTATACCATGTTAAAATAATGATAAATAATCTGAAATATATTTTGTACTTATCACAAACCTGTAAAAATCTATCTCCTTCTTTGAATAGGAAATGATCATCGATTAATTTCTGCTGAACATCTTTGGACATGCCAGTCAATGGATAAAATTCTCCTTTCAGTTCTCCAGAAAGGACCTTGAGCGTAGAAGAAACCTTATCTTCCATTTCCTTATACTGCTGTTCGGTTAGCAAGGGATTGAACGGATAACCTTCCAAGGAACGACCACAACGTACTCTTGTAGAAATGATATACTTACCCTTATAGTGAAATGTGAAAAATTATGAAAAATATGTAATAGTGTGCTTAGTCGAAAATGATATTTTACCTCTGGATCGAGATCACCAAGAGTGTTCACATCACCCCAATCTTTTTGGGGGTGTTTGTCTGTAGCGGTAAAACCTTTATGATAATCCTCGATAATAGGATCAAATATTGGTGCAAACACTGTGTACGCATCAGCATCAGGAGCATAAATACCAACTCCTGAGTCATGGTTTTCGAATCCTTAAATGTTATTTGAACAAAAATGAATAATTTGCGGAGATAAAAAACTAAAGTATACAAATGAACTCAGTTTTCATAACTTATAAAATTAAATTTAAAATCATCAGGTTGACGTCGATACAAATATATACGTAGTGCTTAAATATTCATGGTAGGCAGTAAATATTATATATTATAGGTAATTAATACGGCGATGCTATTTTAAGTTTAATTCTACTTACACCATTTCACGAATTTTAAATATTTCCGACAATAGCTATTTTATACATTCATATTATAATTGTATGGTACATTTTATTTATTTAAAATTAACGACAAGGTAAAAGATTAAAAACTTTATTTTTAATCTTGAAATTCCACATTATAAAAATAATAAATATTCAAATACTATAAGTATTTAAGTATATAATTTACTATTCATTTTTTCATAACATTTTTGGACATATCGACTGGTAAAAGGCAAAAGGGGTTAAACGACAATTTTACTACTTTTCAGGAGAGCAAAAACAAAATTTTCATATTTTCTTAACTTTGTCGTTGGCGCTTCGGTATTTATATAAGCATTAGGAATAAGGTTATTATATATTTTCATTCTATTACATATTATCTTGCTGGTCTGACACTAATTACATTGAAATATTAAGTACATTTTTTGTCATAACAAATTTAACTAAACTTATCTTTTTTTGGTGTTTAGCTCTAATTTTTATTATTATTTTCTTTTTTTTAATGATAAATGGTGATTATAAACTGTTCAGTAGACTTGTAACAATTGTGCAATGTAAATATGTATACCTAGAACGTATAAAGAACTTCACTCGTATAATCACTTTTATCAATATAAAAAATGGTTTGATACTCATAATTCATTTTATTATTATTATGAAAGTTGATAAACAACAATCGTAAGGGCTAAGTGCCATGAATTTGTCACTTATCCCATAAAATTTTCAACAATGTCGCTTATGCCCTTAGAACGGCATTTGTCCCCTACTTTTATAATAAGTGTATCGCTTGTCTCGAAAAATCTAAATTCATGTACTTACTAAATCTCATTAGTAAATGGTCAAAACAACACTAGCGTTAGTGCGATCGAAAGATATAACTGTCGGTTATCCCGTAGTATAAACCGTATCGCTTAGCCCCTTTTGCCTTTTACCAGCCGACATATAGGTGATTGGAAAATAAATGATCTTAAATATACATATATCATAGAAACATATCAAATTAATATAATGACAGTATATAAGTTTTGCGTCAAATTATATATTTAATTAACTTTCCTGGCTATCTGATCTAAATATAGGATCATTGTATAAAGTTCTAATTTTATATTTATACATTTGTTTCAATAATTGAACTGTTCATCTGTAGTGATTTTATGGTAAAATTAGTATCATGAATTATAAATAAATCCAATATAATAAAAATATCTAGCTGTATTAATGAATATTGCAAACATTATTTAAACATAATATATATTGGAAAAATCAATAAAGCCATTTTTCGTAATTTATAACTTTCTTGGTTATTTTAACAATGATTGTCAATGTACAATTGTTAAAAGTTCTAATATTACTATAGTATATTATGTATATGAAAAAATTTCATACACATATGTGTATGTATCGATTTCCATTAGAATATCTATAAAAATGTAATGAAAATATTGCACTATAAAAAATAAATGAAAATTATGACAAAGTGTAATCCACTACTGCGCATCGTTTGAAGTAGAGCAGTCATAAATATGTTCTTATTTCCTTAAGTATAAATAGTTTTGTTATTTATTGTTCATAATACCAAAAAGAGGTATTCATAAAGAAATATAAGAAATATCTGATTTACATTGGCTTTTAACAACAGTACTGCAGTTGAGAGCCAAATATATTTTCCCAATTTATTTACAAATATGTTTTTTTTATAGAAATTAATTATACACAGTGATAAAAGTTAAACTCGACTTGAAAATACCGGATACATATAGATTATGTTAGTGTAGCAAGTTAGAAACGTAAACCTCAAACTCAGTAGATGATATTTCTGTTAAATTGTCGTTAAAAAAATTAGAAATTATGACATTAATTTAAATTAAATACATGTTAAAAACATGCACTTATGTTTTATTATTCTATTCAAATTGATAATTTAGTGGTTTTTTGACAAAAAATATTGTTTTAAATTCTAAAATAAATCATTTACTATTATGTATTTATTAGCATATTATTATTTATTCATACTCTCAATTGTATAAACAATATTTATTTATCGTTTTTGCGTATTTTAATCATTAAAGTTTTTTTAAAATCTGAACAAAAATTAATTTTATTCAACAAAAATAAATCATATAAGTTAAAGAATTTGTTGAAGAATATGTGTTACAGTTTAAATTTTAAATTTTAAAATATATTTTCAAAAATTTTTTTATTTTATTTGGATTTTTGATGAGAAATTTTTGTCTTTTTAAAAAAAATGTGTAGTACCTACTTTAAATTTGATAGTTTAACTAAGTGCAATTCGATTCATACTTATTAAATTGAAGATTTCCGTAGAAATAAAATCTTCGACTAACGAATTATTTTCAAGGCCGTTAGAAACGGTTGACCTTGAGTATTAATGCAGGTAAGTGTTGCAATGGGTAGGAGGGCTTTTTGGCTAGCAGTGATGCTGGATTCAGAATCCTGGATATTGATCCTGAGGGCGTCAAGCAGTCTAGCTCGAATTCCCAGTGACCTACATTTGAACGTAACCACGTCCCTGACAACAAAAAAATAATGTGCTCAAGTCTCAAGAAAACTGACAATGGAAACGGCATTGTGCGATTTATTTACCGGTGTTCATTAATCACTTTAGTGGAAAAATAAAATATTTTTAAATTTCTTTTTTCATTTTTTTTTTTTATGACAGGGGCGTTGCCAAAACTATGTCTACCTACATGATTGACAGCGAGTGTTCTAAATATAATCAAGAAATTGTAAAAAGTCACAAACAAGTATTAAATATTAAAAAAAATTCAAGTTGAGTTACTTCAATTTATTAAGTCAAAATTAACATAAAAAAAAAAGTTCCATTGGAAATGACTATTTGTGTATAAAAAAATTTACCTAATTATTAAACTATTATATATAATATATTTATCATATTTTTTACAGGTAAATACTATATTTCTTTAGTTAATAATCAATGTATTTGTTGCTTGATATTTTTGTTCTTATTAAATGCTTCGATTATTTTTATATTGTTAATTTAATTTTTGAAATTTTTCGACGACTACAAATAGCTTAATTTATAAATAATTACAAAAAAAAAAAAAAAATTGTATCAATAATAAATTAATTGATACTATTACATCTAAAGTTATGAAAAATTGAAATTTGATACATTTAAAACATCGGTATATACTTAATCCTTACGTATTTCATATTTATGAAGAGTGGCATATTAATTTTATTGTATATTTTGAAATATTATAATAATATAATTAAATACAAATATTAGTGTATAAAAAAGGCTGATCCTCTAAGTATCTAAATTTATGATTATGTTATTTGTATAAGTTGTATGATTTAATACTTTTAAAGTATATTAACTTCTTGTATATAACTGAGTTAAATATAATTAATGAAAAATTACACTCAACGTTTTATACAAAACTATTCAAACTTTTCTCTTAGGATATTTCAATAAAAAATTAAAAATTTTTAAATCAAGTACTGGAAAATATAATGGGAAATTTTATTATAAGAAGTACATTACACAATATATTATACGCCTGTATATATTTTAATTTATGCAAACCAAATTCAGTGAAGTTTTATGAACTAGTCTTAATGTTTGTTTTTTCAATCAAGCAGTTAACTAGTTTAATCTTACTCATAATATGCTATTTTATATAATTATATAAATGTCTTATTAATTGTCTACCTAAAAATGTTTATTATAAAAATTTTGTTTTATGTATTATTGGATTAGCTTACCAGACTGCACACAATCCAATAGTGTGGATCCGAAACAAGTTTTTCTATTTTTTGTTGCATCAAACACCTCTTTTGTCAAATATTTCTTTAACAAAGATTTACTATCAGATGAGGAGAGCGCAGACCATCCCTGTTCCAATTTGGCTGATACAGCAGGATCCATAGTGAAGATTATAAATCTATATTTTAAGTGAACAGCAACAATAAAATTATTTTCAATTTTCGTTTATGTCTTGTACTACAAACCTAATTTATTTTTAAATATTAGACTGACCTTTTTAAGAAATTGAACGAAAAATTAGTTGATGTCCTAAATTTGTAATATTAGAATTTGTATATTAGAAATCAAAACACAATGTATTTTTATACATTTAGAGTATTTAGAATATTTAGAGTATATATTGTTATTAGTTATCTCTAAAGTCTATGTTTTCATTCAAATGGCAGATTTTTATAATTATTTTATTATTAAAATTAAAAAATTATGACTTTACGCAATTTATTTTACTGTATGAACAAATAATTTACTTTAATCGGCTAATGGAGTTTCTCTTTAAGAAAATATTTGATAAAGTTGATATCTTGATTTGCTCTTATTTTATTGTATGTTATAATACAATTTAGTATCTGTTTGAAGATACTTTTATAGTAATAACTATGGTAACAAGCGATTGGTAAAATAAGTATAACTATCTTGAATAAAATTTACATTTGTATTGTAAAAACCGTCTATTGCGCAGCTATAAAAATTAATTGAATTGATTATCTCTTTTGTGGAAATAAATTATAAATAAATTTACTTTAAGCTTACATTAATATAAAATATACTTTACATATATGTATGTGAATTATATTAAATGTATGTTACTATATTATTCAATTCACGAAAATAACTAAAACAATTCTATTATCCAGTAATAATTCATACTTGTATTTTTTTATATATCGAGATATAAAATTATTATTGTATAATTAAACACAAAAACTATAGATTTTTGGGCAAACAAAAATATTTGTAGATAAATTTAAAAAAAACAAAATAAAATATTAATAAAAGTAATTTATACTCGTATCAAAACAGAGTTACGTTTGTAAAATTAAAAATATCATAAGTGTCCACGATGATTTAGATTTACTTTCGAAAACAATTTAATGATCTCTGAAAAAACTTATTTAATAATAACACTACTACAACGTTTATTGAATTTAATTTTTTTTTTTCTACTTACGTTTTATTTTATTATATAATACAGAACAGCAAAATTCGAATAACCCGCACAGGTGAAGTGTACCGTGAGCGATATATTTTGATATTGGGAGCTTTATCGTCGCTAACAGACCTACGGCCTTTATAGTTTCCTCCCGGCCGAGTCTGGCATAGCCATGCGCTCTACAATGCGCACGTATTATTACCGCAGTCAGCGGATACCCGATACACGTAGTAACAACTTTTATTATTTATTTATTTTTTTTTTTTTTTTTTTACTGTTATAATAGCACCGATAGAAATCATAATGGAATAATAAAAACTGTCTTTTGCGATAAAATTAAAATATATACTTCACGGCTGCAGGGGTGAAATAGAAACACAGTTCAGGTCATCCTTTTAATTCCATAACCAGACTTTAAATACGATTAAATTTGTTCACTTACAGTATAAGTAATTATTGAAATGTGTTTATTTTACTCAAATATTTTATTAAACACTCAATTGAAAAACTCAACGTGTATGAAAAATTGTGTAATATAACGCTAAGAATAGTATATACCTAGTTATTGAAATAGTTACATATTTGAATATTACACAGCGAGTGTATTCGAGCAAATATAATGATACCAAATGAAATCTGAAAATATTTACATTTTATTGTAAATAAATTTTAAATTTAATTTACAAAATAAAAGTATCCAATTTAGCTTACAATGATATTTTATTTAATAACTTACTCTTTTATCAATGGACTTTACTAATTTGTCATTGTTCAATTCGAGTAAAGGTTTTTTTTTCTTTAATGGAAGTATTATTTACTTGAACACAATTGAACATTAGTAGATATTTTTTTATAAGACAGGTATTATATATTATATTTTAAGTATTTTATTATTTATCCACTTCAAAAAACAATTAATTAATTAAAGTGTAGAAATATCGATTTAAAAAAAATATCAGTATAATTTCACACATTTTTTCCAGATAGTACCAATACTTCTTATTTTTATAAAATATTCTTTTATTTATACCTTTTATTTTTTATAAGCATTTAAAAGAAATAATTTATAAATGTAAGTACATAATAATGTACATATTTAAAACAAATCGTAAAATAGAAATGTGTACTAAATTATTTTTTTGCTGTTTAACATTAATACTTCAACGAAAATTATATTGATCTACATGAATGTATTCTGCAAATAATAAATACACAATTTTTTTTTTAATTAATATGCAAATAAATATAATTAAAACGTAGTTTTTTTTTTGTATATTTTGCTGATCAAATTTCTGGTCAATAGGACATTCTTATAGAATTCAGGTTGATCAAATTTTTTGATATCCCGACAGGCCACTTCCCCTGCATTAAAACCATGAATAATCAACATAATTTTGTTATTTAAATCCCTAACAATTTATTTTACTGAATTAATTTCTATCACGAATTAATAATTTAATCAATAAATGTTACAACCCTATATAACTTTTAATAATCTTAAATATCTTCATTGTATTATCTCATTAATCCCAACATTATGTTCCATTATAATGTTCCAACTATAATAAACTAAAACTTTATTATTAAATATGAATACTAATCGTTCCTAGCGGATGTACACTACTTTAGTCAAAAGTTGCAATAATATTATTTTAATATGAAAAAAAATTATAAAAATATACTATTAAATTCAATAAATATTTAATAGTTAAAACTAGAATCTGATGAATTTTCATAGTTCAGCTATTCAGCTAGAAGGGACCTTAAATATTTTCTTAATTAATTCACTTTAAACCATACACGAGATGTCGAGGTCATTCAATTTAAATTTTTTCATCAGGCCTAACCTAATTTGTTTCTGTGTAGTTGAAATAAATTCTTAATAAAACATTTTAAACACAAATATTCATAGCACGACTTATTTTTGACATTGTGATGTTCTATCAAAACAATTTTATTTTAAATCATACATACACTCGATTTTGCACGCGTAACGTAGGCACAATATTATGTTGGGACAAAGAGCTACGCTATGTTAAATTAAATATAATTTAATATTTGGTTTATTTTTTCAAGATCTAGAATAATTATAAAAACGTATTTTTGTAAATTTAATTAATTCTTAAGTTTGCCGTATACTTTCGTCAAAATGAGAAAAAATTCTAAAATAATATACTTAATATGGGACTATTGTAATTTTTTAGTAGTAATAATTATTTAAAAAACAGATCATTTGTAACGTAGTTCTAAATATTATCCTATTATTACTAATAATAATTTAATTATTAAATAAAAATAATAAAATAAATCAGTATAAAGTTAGTTACAGTCCTCGATCACATACTAATAAATCACATATGATATTATAATGTTACTACTATACAACTACCTAAACTAATGAACAATGATCATGTAAATATAATAGTAGGTACGTCATTTTACTTGTTCATATTAAGTAAACGGGATCATTTTTTTACATACGTTCACTAGTTTTTTTTTCTTATAATATGAAACGTGTGCTTGCGCAGCATCAATTTTTATTGTTTTCAATGACACTTCCCCATAATTATCAAATAGTTCATAATTGTTTAATTTTTCTATTCGATGGCCGGACTAACTTGCGTGGGGCTTACAAATAATCTGAATTTTTTATACTTAGACAATGACTTAATTGAAAAATGGTTTTCGACTATATGACACATGAGACCCATAACGGACCTCACTAATTTTACGTATTTAATTTGTGACACATATATTATAATAGGGTCTTACAGTCACGGGAAACAGTTACTGACAATGGCATTCATTACTAGATCTTTTATATTAAAACGTGATAGTTAGATGTGAGCTCGTTTATATATATATATATATATCTCAGTGGTTCCTAACTTCTTTATTCAACAATTTTAATTTTTTAAAATTCCACATTTCCCCACTAAATTAAAATATTTGATGACCATACTATTATTATTTTGTACATTCTTCAAATACACTATACATTCAATATACATTATAACCAAAGACTACTCGTATTATTTATTTTTTTATTGGTAATATTAACTTATATACTTAGCGATGACCACTTTGCCCTCCCTCCTCCAAATGTAATAATGTCAACCTATAGTACCACTCCCCCTGGTTAGGAAACATTGATTGATACAGATATATCAAAAATTATACGTATTAGGAACACTATAGTATATTTAAATGTAAACATTTTCCAAAAATATGTAGTTCAAGCACAAATATTGGGGATAAGCATGGGGTAAAATCACTTTTTACATCACAAAAAATGAAACCACAAGACTCCTGTAAGCAGGCGTGTAGCTAGATATTTCAAAAGGGGGGTGTTATTCAAAATTAATCGACAAAATTATACATAACAAAATAAAACTAAACGTATAATTTAATATAGAAGTATATTATAGTAAACACATTAGTACATTATCATTATACATGAACAGTGGTGGAACTATAGGGAGGAAGACGAGGATTCATCCCTGGGCGTAACATTTTAGAGGGTGTAATTTTCGTAGTACATAATCTATTAATGATTACTAGTTTGATACTTTTAACTTAGTTACTGATAATGTGTTTATAACTCAGTTAGTATAATTGTATTCGTAATTATTAGAAAAAAAATTATTGGAAAGGCTATTCGATCCTCATTTTATGAAGAACAATTTTAAAATTTTTCCCGGGCACAAAAATTCCTAGTTCTGCCTCTGTGTACATGAATATCTATTCATGTGTAATATACTAATGTATGAGAAAATATTTAAATATTTTATTAAAATTTTAAATGTACATTTTGTCTCTTATATATATTTTAAATCGTGCATAGAACGACTCAAAATCCTGGCTTTATTTTATTAGACAAAACGGTGTAATGAGAAGCCGGATCCCGTCTAATGTAAACTCCGCCAGTTTTTTTTGGTTTTGCTTGTGAATTCTTTCATAGCCATCTAAGAAATTCATTTTATAAAAGTCAACCGAATGTTCATATTTTTAGTAAAGTTCTTACCGAATTTCAAACCCATACTTATACAAAACAAAATATTTACAAATTGTATCACATAATTTTAGTTTACATATATGAAATAACTATATATTTTTGGATTATTAGATTACGTTAGGTTATAATGATTATTTATTATGATTTTTTTACTATGATTTAAATATTTTATGTGAACAATATGATATTATATTATATTATAATTTTTTTTTTTAATAATATATCATATTAATTTTAATATTTGTCTTCTAATATGGATTCTCGAAGTGTGAAAAATTTGTCCGAACGTAAAATAGCTCCCCATTCGGATGTCCGGGTGAGAGCTACCCTGCAGGATACATGTGATAAGAACAAAATGCAGGGAATAGGAACGTGGAATATACGAACAATGCTGAAAACAGGAAAGCTGGAAAATATAAAAATAGAAATGAATATATTAGATATGAATATATTAGGATTATGCGAAATACGTTGGCCAGATAATGGTGACTTTTGATCGGACGATATCAGAGTTATTCACACAAATAGTACAAAAAGACAAGCAGGTGTTGGAATCGCTCTCAATAAGAAATGGAGTACGAGAGTTACGAACGTCGTGACCTATAGTAGCAGACTATGTTTAGTTAAAATGGAATCAAAACCAAACAACCTTGCAATTATACAAATTTATATGCTAACGTCAAAAGCAAATGATAAAGAAGTCGAAGAAGTGTGTGCAGGCATTTGAAGAGCTATTGAAATATACTAAACCACACGATAATGTAATCATCATGGGAGATTTTAATGCTATAGTTGGTGAAGGCAGGGAAGGTAGAGAAGTCGGAAACTTCGGCTTAGGTAAGAGAAATGAAAGAGGAGAAAGAGTAAAGGAGTTAATTAGTTAAGTAGAGAAAATGGGATGATTATAACGAACACCAGATTTCAAAACTCTAACAGAAGAATATATACATGGAAAATATCAGGCGATATTGCCCATTATTAAATAGATTATATACTGGTGAAAAATAGATTTAAGAACCAAGTTAAATTCTGTAAAGCATACCCGAGCGCTGATTGTGACAGTGATCACAATTTAGTAATAGCGAAATGTGAACTCAGATATAAAAAACC